GAGCAGTTCATGCTCTGCTTCTGTCCCTTTGCTCTAAAACCTCTTTGCTCTAAAACCTCCTCCGTGAGTGCTGTCATTGAGCCAGCTCTGCTGCTGTGTCCATAGGGAGGGCAAAGATGGGGAATGTGAAATCCCCTGTGCTCCTCCGATGGGTGCAGGGAACCCCCCGGCCGCATCTCCTCCGGGTGTTCCTCCCCTGTAAATCTTCCTGATGCGGGCTGTTTCTATGCCATTTGCTGAAAAAGTTTGCCTTTTTCCCAGTACTTTGCTCTTTGGCCATGATGCTTCCTAATTTCAAGTGTTAGAGAGCCCAAGAGAGGCAGTGGGAGAGCTGTGGGGCTCTCCAGGCCAGTAGACAAGAGCAGAGTGGGATCTGGAGGATGCTGATTGCAGTTTCCTAAAGCTGAGTCTGCCCTGGTATTTGCTGGGAGGCCAGTGCAGCAGTTTTCTGTGGCTGACTGGGAACTTTGCCATTGTTTGGGGGGCTCTTTCTGTGGAGATCCGTGCTTCCCTCAGGAGGAGGTGATGTGATGGCATTGCAGGGTGTTGGGCTGGGATATCCACTGCAAGTGTGGGCCTTTTGGGGATTTAAACATCAATTTTGCATCTCTTCAGTTGCTGGCGTGCATCCTATATATCATATATGTTCACATGCTGTCACGGTGTGAGGTTTTGTGTGGTTTTCACATGACCTTGTCTTCCACATGTTGGTCCAGAACCTGGGTTTGTTCTCTTCCCACAGCCCCTCTGTGTTTCCTGGTTGAGGTAAATGGGACTGAACTAACAGAACAGGAGTGAAAATCCACCAAATTCACCACCGACACATGTCTCAGCCTGCTTATCTCAGCCGTGCACATCAGCCAAGATTTTCGCAGCTTTTGGCCAAGATTGACAGAACTGGTGGAAAATAGCTTTAAAGGCGATGTTGCACAGTCGTGGTTGGACACATCTGTGGGTCTGCAGAGAGAGGAGCAATGGGATACGGCAGGCTGTAGGGTCAGCAGCTGTGGAGTAAAACTGGTCACCTTGAACCAGTTCCTGATGAATCAGGGTCCTTTGCTCTGGAAACGTGGCACAGTGTCACTCCAAAGGGTTGCTGTTAAAGGGAAGTGTTAGGGCCATGGCATATTTGGGATAAAAACCCCAGTTTGAGGATAGAGTGTGAGCACAGCTTTGAAAAGCAACTCCTCGATGACCTTCCCAAAAGCAAAGGCACCCTACATTTCAAGGAGAAACCTGGTTAGCTGTCAGCCTGGCTACAGCAGCCGAGGGCTCCACGTGCACCAGCCCCAGGTGCAGGCACCGTGGTGGGGTGACATCTCCGACCTCTCCGGAGGACACTCCACTAGTAGCTGGGTGCCTTTTCCTCGAGACTCCAGGTTGTCCCATGCCTGTGGGTCTTGTGGAAATTTTGCCCCAAAATGCCATCTCCTGACAGGTAAAATAAGGTTTGTTCTTGCTGGTTCAGAAAAGCTGGGTTTGTCTTAAAAAGGTAGAGTGACCTCCAGAGTGAGCTGGTTTTCCTGCCTGAGGTTGGGGAGGGGAAAAAAATGCAAATAAAATATGGATAGTCAGTGATGAATGTGATTGTGTTTAAACAGGCCCATAAAAACATGAATATCACCCCATGAAAGATGTGTCAGTAAAACCTCAGAAGTAAAACCTGCTCCTATACCAGGATATGGATTCTGACATCCGAACTGCTGAGGTCCCAGCGCAGGGCGAGCGGCTCACAGTGGGGAGGGCTCCTGAGCCCTTGGGGGCCAAGGCTTGCTTCAGCCGGGACAGAGCCTTTTAAAGGACCTGCGAGGTTCAGGCATGGAGCAAATGGGGAACTTAAATAAAAGCACAGTTGGGTTCCAGATGGAAAATAAGCCAGGTTTAAATGTTAATGAGGAAATATAAGTCCGAGTCAAAAGCTGCACTCTGCAGAGACTGACATTATGGCAGAGTTCATTTGACTAATCAGAGGCATCTATTAGTGCAAAACACTTCCAAATGGAAAGGAAAATTGTTTTGCCTTTTTTTTTCTCTCATAAAAAATGTTGGCTTGCATTTGTTTTTGAGGAGAGTTGCTCATTTTATGTGTTTTTCCTTCCTGAGGCATTGTGAGGGGAGGAGGATGGGGGAATGGCTCCGTGTTGGTGCTGGGACCCTGCTTTTGATGTTTCCTGGGCTTGGGCACGGTGTCTCTGTGTGCACACACAAACCTGGCCTTGCTGCAAAAGAGCGTGCAGAGACGAAGGCCAGGGCTTGCTGCGGCTCTCCCCAGGAAAATGGGTGATAATGAAGCAGGTGTAACTCCACCACCTCCAGCAACAGGTGTAACTCCACCACATCCAGACTTCCCTGCTCTCCTCTCCTTGCCTCGCTCCTCCCCAGCCTCCCCTCACAGGTGGTGAGGGAGAGGAGCTGCCCTGGCCCTGATGTTGGAGGCACCAGATGGGGAATTTGGGGGCTGCTGCTCCTGTGGACGTGAGGAACCCGGGCTGCCTTCGGTACCAGGTGAGCGTGGCACAGCGTAATTAGTGGTCTCCTGCTGTTATTAACCCCTGACTCGGGCAGGCTATTTTTTAACAGAGGTGCAAGAAGTTAATAGTGGCGTTAATGGCTTCACATCCAAGGCTTTAATGAAAGCCAGGCGGGGACCAGGCCTATCATCAATATCCTTCAAACTTTGAACTTGAAGTTATCCTCCTCCCTTCGCCCTTGGTTGGCTTTCTTCCTGCTCCGGGGTCTTTCTGCCTACTTTCCTCACCTCCTCTGGGATCAGCTGTGCCCGTGGCACCGGGCTGGCACCCACCAGCTGCACAATGGGGTGGGGCCCCACCTGCCCCAGTGACGAGCTGAGCCCCATTAGCACCCAGATAAATGGCCCCAGCAGGCTCTGGGGGGTGTGGTAGCATCTCTCACCAGCTGATGAGAGGTCTGCTTGGAGAGTGAGACAAAGATGAAGCATGCTGGAGTGGGAGAGCAAAGGTTTGAGGTGGCTCAGTGGTCTTGGTCTTCATCCTGGTCTTGCTGTTGCTTGAGCCAAGCTCCAGGAAAGCTTTGAGGGGAGAGGACAGCATGGGTAAATCTGTTTTTGAACAAAAATTGAGCATAATGGGGCAGCCAGAGAGCTGCCAAGACCCTTGGGGAGAGGAGGAGGAGGTCTGAGGATGATGCTCTCCAATCTGGTTCTGCAGGAGCAGAAGTGGAGGAGTAGCCTTGCTCCGTGGGGTGATGCCATGGTGGTGGTAGCCCACCTGTTTGGGGTGGTGGGGCTGACTCCTGAGATGCTTTCCTGCTCCTAGCACTTCTGACTTGTGGCCGATGCGGCAGCAGGAGGGAGTGCAGCGGGCTCTGAGGGGATCACACGTGGGAGCTCTGCAGCTGGGTGGTGCTCTTTTAAATCTCTTAAATCCATTTTTTATCGAAATACATTTTTCTTTTTAAAAATAAGCCCGTTTAAATAAATTTGAAATTATGACAACCTATTTTAAGGCCTAAATTTACTATAATCTATTAATCATTTAAATAACTTCCATCAAGGAGTCCTCCTCAAATATTAATGAGCTGAGGGGTGCTGCTTTTTCAATGATATGTCAGATCAGGGGAAAACATCTTTAACTCCAGCTTTCTAAATGTCACAATGTCATATACTTAGTATCTATTATTTCCAGTCTTCACAATGGGGGAAATGCTGGTATTTACATTTTTCCAAATGTCAGTACGTTGAGTTCCTGTTGTGCATAAAAGCCCTTGCCTTAATTACTCCTAATTTCACGTTAGCAGGCAGGTGCGGGGAGAATATTTTCTTCAATTTGAAATAGTTCATTTGAAGTTGGGAAGCCGTGGGGAGCTGAGGAGGCAGGGAAGCTTGTTTTCCCCTTCCAGCCCATGAATAAAGACCAGGTGGGAGAGGAGGAGACGGGCTGCTTCAAACCCTGGTGGCTCCCGGGACCAGATTTTCAAAGGGGATCTGTGTGCCGAAACACGCAGCTCGGCACTTAGAGGGAATTTCAAAAGTGCTTCTGGCTGCAGAGGTGCTCTCGCTGCTCTCGGCTTTGCTGCGGTGGCTCGAGGAGAGCTCAGCATCTCTCTGCTTGGGACACTGGAAGCGTGCTGATTGCTGCCAGAAACAGAGCCTGTGCTGAGCAGGAACACCCTGCCAACGCGCTCGCTGCAGCTAATGTTTCTTTTGATTAATCAGATCGCTCTGGAAGGGCTGAACCTGGTTTCTGATGCAGCCCCCCCCCCCCCCCAGTAGTTAGCTCACTTAAGGCAGCTTAATGAAATTAATTAACAGTACATTTAAAATGTTTTGTGTTTTTTTTGTTGCTGTAATTGAATTCCAGCTTTCATTTGAAGGCAGCTTGAGAAAAGCCAAATACAGGTGACAATCTGCAGCACAGGCACGGGTGGGCTCCTGCCAGCACCAAAGTGGGCGGCACAGATGGGGCAGTGCAGGGCAGAAGCTGTGCCTCCTGGGGATGCAAATGTGAACAGAGCTTGCATTTTCAGGGAAATAACTCAAGTGCTCTGCCCGTCCATCCCGGTGCCCCTGGACCCTGAAGCCAAAGGGTCAGGGTGCTTGGGCAGAAGGTGCAGGTGCTGCTGCAGGTCTTGAGGCTGTGTCCCACGGGGGGAGCTGCAGAACGTGGTTGGGAACCTCCGAACGCATCTCAGTGAGAGCCGGAGCTGCGGGTGTGATGGCAGCCACGTGCACCTTTCCCCATTCATGGCATTTGTTTGCAGTAATTAGCAGCATGGCCCCCTTGATCCCATCACTGCCCAGAGAGGTTGTTCTGTATCCTCTGCTACCCGCAGCCGGGCTGTGTGCAATGTGGAGCTTACAGGCAAAAGCCACGCTGCTGGGTATCCATGGTCACGTACCATCCCCTGGCTGCTCCCTCCACCAATTTTTGGGGAAGAAGCAGACACATCCCTGGTGTTCCCTCCTGCTCTGCATTCCCTTCATGACCACCTTTGTGTTGTTTTTGTTTTGTTTTTTGCAGAGATTTCAGGCAACACAGACGACATCCCGCTGGTGCGCTGGCGGCAGCAGTGGCTGGAGAACGGCACGCTGCTCTTCCACATCCACCACCAGGACGGGGCCCCCAACCTGCCCGGCTTCGAGCCCACCGATGAGCCCCAGACTGAGTCGGCAGAGGAGGAGCTGAGGATCCTCCACATCTCCGTCATGGTAGGTGCTGGTTTAGGGGGTCTGCTCCTGCTGCTCCTCCTGCCCCGGGATGGGGAGCTGAGCCTCAGGGATGGGCTGAGCGCACCCCTCCGGCCACTGGTGCACGCAGAGGTGCCTGCTTTGGAGTCAGGGGCTGTGTTTTTATTTTTTTCTTGTCTCAGAAAAAAATCTGAAGAACTGACAATTTCTGAGCCGCTGGAAGATAATTAGCTGGAGACAATGTGCTGCCGAGGCTGCAAACAGGCTGTTTAATGGTGCCTACCCTAATGAGAGTGTCGGTAGCTCTTCCAGATTGCAGCCTGGGGCCAGGTTTCTCCTCCATCATTTGTGCTTGATTAGTCTCGAGGAGGAAAAAAAAAAAAAAGAAAAAGTTCTGGCAAAGCCAACCCCAAACCCATTTTGGTCCCTTTCCTTATTTTGATCCCATCCTGGCTGTTCCCACGAGCGTGCATCACCCAGGGGATGGTTGTCCTGCTCTGCTGCTGTTGTTTTGGTGCTCGTGGACACCACTGAGTACACAGACCCGGGCAGGAGTGCATGAAATAAAGTTGTTATCAAACCGATGGAAATTATGCCCACAAACCCCTGTACCAAAATGTGTAAGTGCAGATCGAATCTTCCCCTCTTCTCCATCACTCCCAGCTCTGCTCTGGCAGCATCCTGACAAACAGAGCTTGGCTTCTGTGCCCAGCGTCAGTCACGTGTAATGTTCAAGGCTGATTTTCTTTCTTTCCCCTTTGGAGAGATGTATGAGTGAGGGGCTGTGTTCATCATGGCACGTGGGCCATGCCAGAAACTCTCATGCAACTGTGCAGCACCAGGACCCCTTGGAGGCTTTTCCCAAGTGCCCGGTGGGAGGGGATGGAGGATTTCTGTGCTCCCGTGGGGAGGAGCTCTGGGCTGAGGTGGTGCCCTGGCCCCTTCAGCGAGGCAGGGGGCTCCACCACTGTTTTTTTTTGCTCCTGGAGTAAAACTCTTGAAATATCTTGGAAACCTCAAGTGGCCACCGACTGCTTTTCCTCATGGGTTCTCGGACTACCAGGGCAGAAAAACCGCAGTTTCAGTTAAATAACGGGGCTTTTATAGACATCTGCAGCCAACGGGCTTCCACTCGACTCGAGCTCCAGCTTGGTCTCCTCGTTTACCAGCCGCCCAGCTCAGGCAGCAGGCAGAGCTGCCTGCTCTTTGGGGTGAGAGCCGCATGCAGAGGGCAACTAAGGAAAGGCAGCGATGTCCCTGTGTCACCCCCACCCATGGGTGAACCCTTCCAGGGGTGATGGGAGCCGTGACGTGGGAGCCATCTCCGGTGGGGACAAGGGATAGGATCCACGTTTGGGAATTAGAGGAACCCAAAGGGATTTAAACCCCATAAATAACTGGGCCCTGGCTGCCTGTGTCCTCCATCACGGGATTCTCCTCCTTTGTCTTTTTCTTTTTTTTCTTTTAAATAAATTTTGTAAGGAGGGCTGGGAGGGTACATTGCAGCTCCATTATCCCGGGAATGGAAGAGGGCTAAGCCATAATGGCTGTTACAGCTCCTTTTCCAGCCGCTTCTCCTGCTTCTCATTCAATAATTTCCTTAATGTTTTGTCCTAATGGAGCAGATTGTTACTCGCGTTTTATTTTATCAAGATCACCTATTGCTTGAAAAAGAGGAGGGGGCTGGAGCTGCAGATGACCAGGGAGCTCTTAGCTGGCACTATTATTATTATTGTTATTATTATTATTGGCACAGGGGGCCAGTGAGAGCTTTCATCTCACCGCCTCCATCCATGCTGCAGCAGTGCCATCTCCATGGGGGGTGGCCTTGGGGACAGAGGGGGGGGGGGTGGCAGGGGCTGGGTGTGCTTTTGGCCATCTCCGGCACCGTGGGGCTGGAGCTTCTCCAGCCGTATGCCCCCGAGCCTTCATCTCTTCCCGCATGCTGAAATTTCCGCAGGACGCCCTGGGAAAATCTCCCAAGATTAAGAGCGACAGCACTGAAAGCGGCTGGAAATGGGTCAGAAAAAGTTGCCCCTAGGAGTGTTTGCCTGCAATAAACCCGGCCTCCGCTTTCAAAGCCGTCGCGGGAGCGCGAAACAAAACACGCTCTACTTTAAACGTTGCCTTTTCACGCCTCGGTGGTGACTTCAAAGCCGGTCCAGCTCGAGGCAGGCTTTACCCCCCGGTGCCAGAACGCTCTTATCAGTGCGGCCGGGCTTCTCCCAGCCTGTCCCCCCTCCCAGCGCCCCGGGGCTGTTTGCTGGACCCCCCCTGAGCCCCGCTCGCCCTTGGTCCCGCAGGGAGGGATGATCGCGCTGCTGCTCTCCATCCTCTGCCTGGTGATGATCCTCTACACCCGCCGGCGGTGGTGCAAGCGGCGCCGCGTGCCGCAGCCCCAGAAGAGCGCCAGCGCCGAGGCGGCCAACGAGATCCACTACATCCCCTCGGTGCTGATCGGGGGCCACGGGCGGGAGAGCCTGCGCAACGCCCGTGTGCAGGGCCACAACTCCAGCGGCACCCTCAGCATCCGCGAGACCCCCATCCTGGACGGCTACGAGTACGACATCACCGACCTGCGGCACCACCTCCAGCGCGAGTGCATGAACGGCGGCGAGGACTTTGCCAGCCAGGTCACCCGCACCCTGGACTCGCTGCAGGGCTGCAACGAGAAGTCCAGCATGGACCTCACGCCAGGTTGGGGAGCTATGGGGCCGAACCGGGCCCTTTCTGCCTCGTCTTCCTCGCGCGTGTGCATTTTCCCTCCAGGGTGTGGCCCGTTTCTCTGGGACTCCCTCGCATGTGGGATGTTAGTGGGGTTTTTGCTGCTAGTTGAGGGTGGTCCCCACTGAGTGGCACGCGGCTGGGACAAGGCAAGGTGGAGCTTTGGGGGAAAAAACTGTGGTTCCTGTGGTCTGGCTGAGGACCCAGGTGGTGTTTCCTCCGAGCTCCCCCATGGTGACCTTCCCAAATTCCCTTTTCCATCCCAGAACTCCTGGTGTCTGCACCAGCTGAGGTTTTTAATATCAAAATTAGACTTGCCATCAGTATAATTCAGAGTTAACGCTCTTCTAATCACCAGCAGAGATTATTTGAGGCTCGTAACACACTTGCCTGTTGGCCATATTGCCAAATGAGCCGTACAAGTGAAACCCTCTTAGTCAAGGTGCAGTTTGGGAAGGCCATGCTGTGCTTCCCACAGCTCTCCAGGGATTTTCTTTGCATACCTGGATATGCAGAAGTGCCCTGGGAGGAGGGGGAATGCTGAACCTCAGTATTTTTATGGGCTCGGTGGACGGGGCAGGCTGGTCCACTAGCCACAGTCACCTTGCACGGATGCTGGGGATCCATCGAAGGAAATCTCTTTCTCGCCTCCCTTCTTTTCTTCTTTTTTCGGTCTTTGTCCCTGAAAGATGTTGCCTTCGATTCTTCCCGCCTAGGGAGCGACAACGCCAAGCTGTCCCTGATGAACAAGTACAAGGACAACATCATCGCCACCAGCCCCGTGGACGCCAACCACCAGCAGGCCACGCTGCTCTCCCACACCTCCAGCAGCCAGCGCAAGCGCATCAACAACAAGGCGCGAGGTGCGGGGTGTACGGGGACGTGCCAGCCCCCCGGCAGCTCCCCAAACTGCCCAGACCCACGGGAGTGGTGGGGCGAGAGCTGTGCTGCAGGATGGAAATGGGGGTTTGGGATTTGGGGCTGGGAGCTGTGGCTGGGGGGAGAAGTTGCAAGGCAATGGGGGCTGTGGTGGGGAGGGAGAGGATCTGTGTCCAGCTTCAGCCTCCAAGGCCACAGCAGCAGAGGGTGATGGAGGATGAGGTGTGTGTGCAGTCACCCTGCTGTGATGACGCTTGGTGTCCCCCGCAGCTGGCTCGGCGTTTCTTAACCCCGAGGGGGACTCAGGGACGGAGGCGGACACCGATCCCCAGCTGACCTTCTACACAGACCCCTCGCGGAGCCGGAGGCGCAGTCGAGGTGGGTGTAGGCAGGCAGCGAGTGGGTCTCTGAACCCCGATGTCCCCCAGCTCTGCCTGCTCGTCAGGCTTTCCCTGAGGGCTTGCCCCACGGTGTGGGGGGCAAGGACGGGGATGCAGAGCCCAGGACCCCTCTGAGCACTCTCCCGGGTGGCTGGATCTTGGGTTTGAGAGAGTTTTTGTGCCTTGCAGTGGGGTCCCCCCGCAGCCCCGTGAACAAGACCACGCTGACCCTCATCAGCGTGACGAGCTGCGTGATCAGCCTGGTGTGCTCCTCACACATGAGCTGCCCCCTCGTTGTCAAGATCACCCTCCACGTCCCCGAGCACCTCATCGCCGATGGTGAGCGCCCTGTGGCTCCCCCCGAGCTCCCTCAGCCGTGCACTGGGAGCTGTAACGGAGGGGAAGGGGGAACGATGGAGGGGACGGGTGTGGGGTGGGTGCAGGATGGAGGGGACGGGTTTGGTGTGGAGGACAGCAGCGTGGGGCAGAGGGGATGGGGGTGGGATGGTGGAGATGCACACGATGTGGAGGTGGCTGCTGCGGGATGGAGGGGATGGGCGAGGGATGCAAGAGGTGGATGTGGGGTGGAGAGGACCGTTACGGGCTGGAGGGGACCGTCATGGGATGGAAGAGGCTGTCACGGGATAGGAGACACTGTCATCGGATGGATGGCATTGTCACGGGCTGGAGGGCGCTGTCAGGGGATGGAGAGCTGAGAGTTGAGCCGCTGATTGCCCCCCGGGCGGCAGGGAGCCGGTTTATCTTGCTGGAGGGCAGCCAGCTGGACGCCAGCGACTGGCTGAACCCGGCGCAGGTCGTCCTCTTCTCCCAGCAAAACTCCAGCGGGCCCTGGGCCCTGGACCTCTGCGCCCGCCGCCTCCTCGACCCCTGCGAGCACCAGTGCGACCCCGAGACCGGTAAGCCGGGGGCAGTGGGGGTCCTGCGGGGCCCTCTGTCCCTGATGTCCCCCCTCTCCCCATAGGTGAGTGTCTGTGCTACGAGGGCTACATGAAGGACCCCGTCCACAAGCACCTCTGCATCCGGAACGAGTGGGGCACCAACCAGGGGTGAGTGTGCCCCCAGCGCCGTGCCCAGGTTCAGGCAGCAGCACGGTGTGGCAGGGCTGTGGGAAATCCTCTTTGGTGAAAGAGTTAAAAGCACCTCGGTGAACCGTGAGCTGTGGGCTCTGCAGGGGCTCCGCAGGAGGTGAGGATTTTTGTCGTTTGAAGTCTTCAGAGCTGAGCAGCGCTGGCATAGATGTTGCCGTTATTAGGTTTCAGAGTGAACAGCCCCCACAGAGCATCGGGGCTGTTCCTTTTCTCCTTCTGGGGGCTCTCCTCTGGCAGCCAGCACCAGGAGATGTTTGCCCGACATCATCATACCCCCAGAAGTACAAGAGCAAAATTTCCTGATGTTTTGGTAGCATGCAGAAATCCCAGACACAGCAAAAAAAAAAGAAAAAAGGGGGGGGGGGACAAGCGACCATCAGGGATGTCCCCAGCTCTCCATGGCTCCCCCATCCCCTCTTAATGGATGGGGGCATAGGGATGGGGTCTTCCCCTTTCCCCTGTTGCCGAGGACACGCTGAGTGTCTCCTGTTGGGCTGGAGGAGCCCACAGCCAGCATGCACAGAGCAAGGGGGAGAATGACTTTGTGCTCCAACACGCATCTGTGAGTGCCGGCTTCCTGCTGCTGTGCTTCTGGGGTGTGGGACTGCAGCTGAGCACCTCAGCTAGCTCCTTGCTGACCTAGCTGCTCCATCTAAAGGGAGAGGGGAGAAAAGGCTGGTTATTAGGAAAAAATACGGATGGCAGCCGGCGGGAGGGAAGCCAAGGGCAGGAAGGACAAATCCGCTCCTGCCCTTTAATAAGGAGTTGTTTGCTCGGCGTAATTCAAAGGGGTCTTTGGCATCGTCCCCGGGATAAATAGGACCAGGGAACTTGTTTTTTCCCATCTGCGGTTTTGGCATTATAGGGTTTTGCTGTGTTTGTGCTCTGCCTTCCGTCCTGCAGCAGCGTTTGTGCCTGGCCAGGATGGGACCACCACAAGCCCCCCAGCCTTTCCCTGGGTCCGTGGGGGCTCTGATGGGTTGGGGCTCTCTTGTCACGGCTCCTCCAGTTTGCCCAATTCCCTGCAGAACTTGCAACCTTAACCCAGGATTTATGGTGTTTTTTGGGGGGGCAGGGTACAAAAGCAGGACCGGGGGGGGGGCTTTGCTTTTGCCAGCCCCTTGGTCGTGCTGCGGAGCACTGCTGGGATGCCTGGGCACGGTCTCTCAGCGCTGACAGAGCGGCGCTTTTATCTGAAAGCGCACTGCGAGGCTCTGGATGCGTTTCCGATTGGTTTGTTTTTATTTACAGTGATTATCATTTGAGTCAGTGTCTGTGCACTCAGCAGCATCTAATTTTGCTCGTGAAGGCGAGCTCATCTTTGAACTTTATTTGCAGTGGCTTTGTGTGCTGCGTGTATTTTGGGTACCACACCGAGAGCCGTGCCATCACCATGCATCCTTTACTGAACGCATCCGGTCCCTAAATCAGCACCAGTTTTTCAAAAACGAGAACTTTTTGATCATGTGCAGCAGATATATTTTGATCGTCTGCTTTTGTGTGCGGCTCTTCAGCTGTTTTAAACAAATCTGCTGTGCGTTGCCTGTTTGTTAGCCGCCTGCCTCTCGACTTTGATATGCATTTTTAATTAGCTGCCCCGTGGCTTCTTCTCCAACATTTCTCAGGTAGCTTTCCAGCAATCTGGCCAACCTGGTCGATCCAACCGGATTCCCAGGGTGGTATCATGCTAGGGCTGTCCTGGAAGTCACATCAGTGAGCTGTGCACCCGCGTAGCCTGCCCACCTCCCTAATTTCTTGACCCCTTGCACCTGCAATGCGATGGCTGATGGCTGTCCCCTCACCAGCTGTCTCCTTACCTGGGAGACACCCCAAGTGAGGTCTAACACCCTTGGCATTTAAGGGCTCCAACGTGCATTTTCCTCTATTTTCATTCTTCACCACTGCAAGGGGAAGTTTGGGGCCAGTTTAAGGTGATTTGGTCAATGTGGCTGGCTGCGTGCTGTCACACTCTTCCAGCATGGGCAAAAATATGGGCAGGGGAAAGCAATGGGGTCAGCCCCCTGGTTGTAGGGTGGGCTGGGTTTGCCCACGGCTTGCCAGGTGAGACCCCTCTGCTTGGTAGGACCTGCACCAAGATGGGCCCAGAGGACTGTTATAGGGCAAATGGTTCCCTTTCAACAATTTGGGTACTGCTTGAGAGCCTGCAAGGTGTTAATTGGTTTTTATGGGTATTGGTGGGGATGGCTCTTGCTGTGGGTGTCTGTCTCCTGCTGTGGTCATCTCCTGCCCTGGCTCTTCCCAGGGAAGTTCCCCCTGAAGTCAGCAGTGGGATCCTTGTGGTCACCACTGGTTTGCACTGGGAGCATCCCCTTGCAGAGCGTGGATTTGCTGGGGGTCCCCAGCCCCAAATGCTTCTCCCTTTTGGGGGGACAGCAAAATCCCACAGCCGAATTGGACCACCCCAGCAGGGCAGGGCACTCCTTTATCCGTGCCCTGCTCACCCCCTCTGCACGCTGCCCCTTCTGTGGGGAGCTGTCCCCCTGCCCCCCTCTGTGCTGTGTACCCACCCGTGTCCCATCCCCTCCAACCCCACAGAGCAGCCGGGGACATGGAAAAATGACAAGGACAGCACTTTCCCTGCTTAAGCTCTTTTCTTTCTCTCCCTTTTTATTTTTCCACCCCTTTTTCTGCCTATCTTTTTTTTTTTTTCTCCTCTGCCTCTTTCTATCCCCCGCTGTGCGCCGCGGCTTTGCGAGCTGGAAGGACGGCCAGATAAAAAGCTCGTCTTTCTTTCAGATCCTTTCACCAACCACCCCTCCGCCTCCTCCTCCCCGCCCCATTCTCCTCGCAGATTTACGGGCAGCCCAGGAGAAAGTGCCGGCATTAGCATTTTTAATAAAGAGCCGCTTAGAAGGGAGGGCAGCGGGCGGGGAGGTGGGCAGGGGAACAGCAGCCAGAGCCTGGCGAGACCCTGGCCAGGCAGAGCCTCAGTGGGGCTGGCACCGGGTGGAAACCCCAAAAAGCATCAAGGGGCCGTGGCCCAGACCTATTTTAAGCCCATAACCACCAACCACCTAATTCTCTGGTGGCACTGCAGCTGTGCTCACGTGTAGCAACTTCTCAGCACCCTCAGCTCTCCCTGCCAGCTCCCTTCCAGCAGCCCCAGGTTAGCTCATCACTGCCGTGTCCCATGGGCTCCAGGCTTTTGTTCCTCATCCAGCAGAGGCAAAAAAGCCCCGTGGATAACAAGGATGGCTCCCAAGGCTGGAGGTCGGTCTGACCTTGTCCCCGTGGGGCTGCAAGGCAGGTACAGCTCCAGGGTGCAGGGGAGGTAAATCAGAGAAACACCAACAGCACCAGGTCCCGAGGGCTTGTCTGGCACATCGGGAGCTTCCCCTTGAGCCTGGGTCTGGAGCAGGGCGTGAGTCCAGCTGGAAAAAACGAGAGGCCTGAAGACCGTCCCGGGGATGTATTGGCAGAGCTTTGGCCGTAGGCACTCGCTCACGGTGCCTGGTGAGCTTTCTGGCTGTCGGCTGCCCCGTGGACCCCCCGTTTTGTTGTTTCAGATGCCAAGGCTTGCAGGGAGCCAAGGGCTGTCATTTCTGGCCCATTTAATCCAATCTGATCAGATGCAGAGCTGCTTCTGATCCGTCTCCGTACCCTTTGTGAGCTTGGAAGGCCACGCAGCCAAAATACCTGCCAAGAGCAAGGAAAGCAGAGCAGCGAGGCGCCTGCGGAGCACAGGAGGTGGGGAGACAGGCAGCTGCACGGGCACAGGGGAGGAAAGAGGGGATGAAACAGCACCAGAGCCACGGGGGGGACATGCCAGCGATGGAGGGGGTGAGATGTGAGTGGGGGAGAACTTCTCCCCCCACCCTCTGCAGCAGGAGGCACAAGTAGGCGAGGAGGGGGCTTTTGTCTGCCTGGGAGGAACAGTCGGTGCGGAGCTCCTGGAGAGCCGGGCTCAGAGCACAAAATTTTAGGCACGGTTGGAAGTCGGACGCTGGGGGGCATAACGTGTCCTGGGAGCTGATTTGCACCTCGCAGGCAGACTGGAGGCTTCGTGGCACGGCGGTGCTGCCTCCTGGGCTCCCATGGCACTGCTGCTTTTGGGCTGAGCACCGCGGCATGCAGAGCGCGGCTCTCCACCACCGTTTTCCCACCCGACCCGGCAAGGAACAATACCGTGCTCTGCTTTTGTTCCCAGCCTGGCACACTCCGGAGAAGCAAGAATAAAGCCCATCTATCTGCAGGGAGGCGGGGATGTGCAGCATTCAAGGCGCTGGCGAGGCGCAAGGAGCAAGAGGGCCTTATCCGGGGCGAGGCGCTGGATGTAATCCCCCATGCCCAGCCGGCCACAGCAGTGCCATTGTGTCCCGGCCAGGAAATGAGCAGCGTGCTCTAATCCTGCAATCAGGATTTTTATTTTTTTTTGTCCTTGCTGAAATAACTTCAGATTAGAAATTGAAGTGCTTATGCAGGAGAGCTGTAATTGCCTGGAGAGAAAATCCCCAGGCTTGCTGGGGCAAGGTGCTTGCGGTGCCCCTTGCGGGGAGGCAGGCTCTCACCGGGTCTCTTAAAGGTGGCAGGGCGGGAAAATCTCTTTCTCTTCCCAGCTCTGAGCTTGCCTTGCAAATGGGATTTGGTTGGGTCTGGTTGTGATTCCCCTTGTCTGGTATCCTGCATTTTTTTTCTTTCTTTTTATTTATTTTTTTCTAGTCTGACTTGCCGGTCTCTCTGCAATGGATGCCGTGTAAAAAATGCAGAGAATGCTCCACAAAAGATGCTGTGCAAATGATGCTAAAAGCTGTAAATTTTTCAGGATAAAGGAAATCAAAGCTTTGTCTGGGTTTGGGTTAGCACCCACCCCACCTGAAACTATGAAACTGAAGGGGGTGAAACTGTCCTAGAGCCTGAGACGCTTCCTTCTAGAAGGCTCGCAGAGGAAAGTTTCAGATGTGTTTCGGGTTGCTTTTTGCAGTTTGATGGATGTGATACAAATCTCCACTGTGGGAGCGGGTGGGTGGTACCCGAGGGTGCAGGGGTGTGAGGCTCACAGATGCTCTGCAGTGGTGGGAAGGGGGGGGCTGGAGCCAAGCGTACCCCGAAATAAATGGCGAGGTATGCCACTGACTGGAGGCACCAGCCATATAGGATCCTAAATCCTAAAAATTGGAGAAGAAAAAAAAAAAAGGCCAAACATCTTGGGTGTGGGGCTATTTTCCTGCCTTGTTCTGGCTTGGTTTGAGCTGTGTGATCCTGGGACCCATTCTGTGCTTGCACCCATGTGCGTGCGTCACAGGTGCAGTGGCTCTTGCTGCAGCACACAGCTGAGGAAATATCTGGGGATGCCAGCGTGATGTCCTTGTGCTTCTCCTCCAGACCCTGGCCGTACACCATATTCCAGCGCGGCTTCGACCTGGTGCTGGGCGAGCAGCCATCCGACAAGATTTTTCGGTAAGCCCTGCTTCGGTCTCACCCCCACCCGTTGGACCTCCCCGCTGGTTTGGATGTTGCCTGGTGCTGGTCCTGGGGAGGGTGCAGCAGGCTGGTGATGGCATGGCCAAGCACGGTGTCCTGTGCCACCTCCTGGGGGCTTGTGAGCATGGCTGGCGTGGTCCCACTACAGCGGCCACGTGGGTTTCATGGGATGCTGGATGCCCAGCAGCCAGTTCCTCCTCCCCATCCACAAGGAGAGCAAGATGTAGGTTCTGAAGGAGGATTTCTACCAAAAGGAGTGCTTTCCTTTTCCCTGGACACCTCAGAGAGGAGGAATAAATACATGAATAATCCCTTGTCACCTCTCCTCCTGCTCCCCAGCAGCACGCTCCTGGCGGATGGGTGCTGGAGATACCTGCATCCAGCTGGGGATGGGTTTGGGACCACCCCAGGGAGAGGGGCGGGTTCAAGGGCTGGGTTTTGGTAGAGGTGGACATCTGCATGATGTCCCCGCACCGATGTGACACAAGGGTGGCCCTCTGGGCGCGGTGCCCCCCTGTGTGCCTGCTCCCCTGCCAGGTTCACCTACACCCTGGGGGAGGGCATGTGGCTGCCGCTGAGCAAGAGCTTCGTCATCCCTCCGGCCGAGCTGGCCATCAACCCCTCGGCCAAGTGCAAGACCGACATGACGGTGATGGAGGACGCGGTGGAGGTCAGGTGGGTGCGACTGCAGAGCGGGGACGAGGGTCTGTAACAGCCTGGTGTGGCTCTGCAGCCAGGGGGACAACCCAAAGGACGTGGGGGTGGTGAGAGCTGGGGGGTTGGTACGTCTGCTGCCAACCAAAGCAGTGAAACACCTCTTCCTCCTCCTCGCAGGGAAGAGCTGATGACCTCCTCCTCCTTCGACAGCCTGGAGGTTCTCCTCGACTCCTTTGGCCCTGTCCGGGACTGCACCAGGGACAACGGGGGCTGCAGCAAGAATTTCCGCTGCATCGCCGACCGCAAGCTGGACTCAACGGGCTGCGTGGTGCGTGGCGGGGGGACAGGGTGGAGGAGGAAGAGATGCCTCCTGCTCTCCTCATTACCCCAGAGTGAATATTTTTTGTGTTTTGGGGGCACCTGGTGGCTCTTTCAGGTGTCCCTATGAGCTGTAACGTGTTCTGTGCTGGTGGAGGGGCCTCAGGGAGCAGCATTTTAGCACCCACCACCTCCACAGCCTCCTCTCTGCCCCAGCCCAGCTGGGATTTCATCCCAGGAGCCACTTTTTGGCTGGCTGGGCTCTCCTCATCTCTCTCGCTTTCCCCTCCACCAGTGCCCGGCGGGACTGAGCCCCATGAAGGACGGCACGGGCTGCTACGACCGCCACGTCGGCGTCGACTGCTCCGACGGCTTCAACGGGGGCTGCGAGCAGCTGTGCCTGCAGCAGATGGTGCCCCTGCCCGACGACCCCCTGCTCTACAACATCCTCATGTTCTGCGGGTGAGCCCCCCAGTGCTGTCCCCAGCATGGGAACCTTCTTGTCCCCAGGAGCAGGAGACCCCTCCTCGCTCCGTGAGGGCACTCAGGTGGCCTTGGCCAACAAAACTGAGACCACGCGGGGGTTTTTGCACCATAACCTCTTCCCCAGCCAAACGCCAAAAGCAAAGTGGCCCCAGGGGCTGGGTGGCTTCGAGGGTGTCCTCATTTCTGGGTGTCCCACCTGGGGTGGCTCGGGCCTTGGTGGTGGGGCTGCAGGTGATGGGGCCCCGCTGCTGGCTTGCCAGGTGCATCGAGGACTACAAGCTGGGAGTGGACGGGCGGTCGTGCCAGCTCATCTCCGAGTCGTGCCCCGAGGCGGGGGACTGCGGCGAGCCCCGCGAGCTGCCCATGAACCAGACGCTCTTTGGGGAGATCTTCTATGGCTACAACAACCACTCCAAGGAGGTGGCCCCAGGGCAGGTGCTCAAAGGGACCTTTAGGTAAGGGGGGACGTGGGGAGGTGGCTGCTGGCAGGGTTTCCAAGAGCACAGGGCGTTGTTCAGCCACGTCTGGCCAAGCTTTGCAGGAGTTTGAGGGGCTGGCAGGGTGGGCACATCTGAAGCCACATCTGTCTTCATAACCCATGCCCAGAGGCTTGGTGCTGGGTTTTTAGAGTGGGTTGCCGGCCAGGTGTTGCCATCCCTTGTCCCCTCACCCAATCCTCCTCTCTCTCCAATTAATTTCCAGGCAGAACAACTTTGCCCGGGGCCTGGAGCAGCAGCTGCCGGATGGGCTGGTGGTGGCCACGGTGCCCCTGGAGAACCAGTGCCAAGAGGAGCTCTCAGACCCCACGCCTGACCCCGAATTCCTTACCGGTGAGTGAGCCCGGCCAGACCTACACCCTCCTGGGGATGCTGTGTGACATGTCCTGCCGGGCTGCACCCCGTGCCCAGCCCTGCAAGGGGAAGGCGGCACGTTTCCCGATTTTATTTCAGCCACCTGCAAACGGGGGCAGTCAGTAGCATCGCTGCAGCAGGCTGCCTGCTGCCAGGCTGCCCGTTTGCGGGGCACAGGCTGTGAATTAATTGTGTGGCTAACAGCTCAGGTGCCCACCGGAGAGCTGAGGGGTTTTCAAAAAGATTTTTCTTCTTCCAGGCAAAAAACGTTTTCCAAATGCCTTTAATTTGATTTCCAAACCAGAAATTGGTGTAAAGAAGCATTCAAAACCACAGTATTTTGGTTTGTCCTGGCAGACCATTGACCATGAGCACCAAGGTCACGGTGGGTTCCTAGCCTGGAGGGTGCCACGGGGGTGACAAAGGCAGTGCCACCACGGCCATGGCATCACAGAGGGGATGGGGGCCAGGGACTTTGCTGGCAATGACACCAGGGAGACAGAAGCCAGCAAATTGCTGTATTCATTTCCCACTGCTCTGCTGGCTCTTTGTGGCTGATTAGGAGGGGGAAAAAAAAAAAAAAAGAGAAGAAAAAAAAGGAAAAGGAGCGAAATCTTCTGTGCTTGTCAGTAGGCAGATCTGGGCATTGCTGTGAATACACGAGAGGCAGAGCTGCTGAGTAAGGAAGGGCTGTTTTTGCATAAACACTTTGCGGGGACAAGCGAGGCTTTGAAGCTGTTGGCAGCAGCCGGCGCTGAAGGAAGCGGCACTGGGAGGCAGAGTACCGCATCCTCCTTATCCTCTGCCTCTCCTTCTCGCTGCGGAGGGGGGAGGCACGTTGTTGTCCTGCCCGAGCCCTGCTGCATGGCTGCTCGGCTGCCGAGGAGAGATGTGCTGTGCTGGAGGTGTACAGCCAGCTGTGGCATGCTCTGGCCACCAACATCAGAGCCGTGAGCAGCCTCAGTTCCTTTTCTTGGGCTTTTCCCAGGATTTGGCTCTCGGGAGCTGGGTCTGTCCCTGGGTTGACCACCCTCATCCTCATCCAGGCCATCTCGGGAGGGTTTCTGGTCTTGCTCAGCCCCAGCATTGCCACAGTGCCCAAGGGACCGTGAGCACAGGAGGGCGATTTCCCCATGCACACGTGTCCCGCTCTGTCCCCTGGGCCTCCGTGTTGGCCACAGCTGTGGCGTGACGGTGACCGTTCCCAGGTCTGCCAACAGCTCATTAAAAAGCGCAACTCTCATTAGCGAAGTAATTAGCACACCTGGGCATGTCTGGGGAGCGGCCGCCGGGAGGGAGGCAGGAGGAGGCTCGTTATCTTCCGCCACGGAGCCCCGGACGGCAGGATGAAACGAAGCCATCATTTTTCCTTCAAAGCCATGATTTTAATTGCCGCGGAGCAGCTGATGGCAGGGACGTGATGAGTGCTGGTGCTTTCCATGCCTCCTTCCCACCCCGCCGGGTGCACAGCGCCGGGCATGGCACAAGGCACTGCACCCTCCTTGGTGTCCCCACGCCTGGCAGCGGTGCTGAGCGGTGCTGAGCACCGTGTCCTGTCTCTGGCAGGGATGGTGAACTTCAGCGAGGTGTCCGGGTACCCGCTCCTGCAGCACTGGAAGGTGCAGTCCGTCATGTACCACGTCCGGCTCAACCAGCTCACCATCTCCCAGTGTAAGTGGGGCCAAAAGGTGTGGCGAGAGGACACGGCACCTTCTGCTGGGTGGTGGGCTTAGGGGTGGCTGGTCCGGAGGGCCCAAGGGGCTCGGTGTCTGCAGGGATCTGGGCATCTCCCCCATGTCACCCCCAGCCTTCAGCAACGCACTCCACTCTCTGGATGGGGCCACCTCCCGCGGGGACTTCGTGGCGCTGCTGGACCAGTTTGGCAACCACTACATCCAGGAGGCCGTGTACGGCTTCGAGGAGTCCTGCTCCATCTGGTACCCCAACAGGCAGGTCCAGCGGCAGCTCTGGCTGGAGTACGAGGACATCAGCAAAGGTAGGAGCCCTGGGACAGGTCCCCAAAGCCACCCCGCTGCCTGCTGAGCAGGAGCTGGGTTTGCCCTCTGCACAACAGGGAGAGCGCCCAGCCCTTGCAGAGGCTGCATCCCACCTCATTTTCTTACTTCCACCCTGCTGTTGTGGTCGAAGGACCCCCGTGGACTGCAGCCAGCGTCAGCCCGGGCCAGCAAGGCGTATAAATACCCACACCCCCAGGGAGATGAAAGATGAATGCACTAATCCCACCAAGCCGTCCTGTCTGATTCTGGACTTAGCTGCTATTTGCCTTTAATCCTGTCCCTTCGCTCCCTTTGTCTCCTCCGTATCTGCTCTCTTCCACTCACATCCCGGGGCCAGACTTTCCTTCTGCTAATGTTTTCTCTTCTCCCCGGGTGCCAGCGCTGTGTTTTACTGTCTGCACACCAGTAACGAACTGGTCACCGGGCTCTGGGAAAGGGGGGGAGCCTGCGGGAGCCCAGTCCTGGCTCTGCCTTCAGTACAGAGAAGGAAGCATCTGCACACTGCATTAGAAACAGCAGGAAAGCTCAAAATCCTGGGTGTGGGTGACCCCTCGGGTGGAAAACGTTCATTTCTGAGCCTGGATGCTGCGGGCTGAGGCCTCCTGGAGCCTGGACGCCTTCCCGAGCCCACCTGCAAGAGTCCAGACCTGCTGCTGTTTTGCTGAGGGCTGTTTCCAGATGTAGCATCTTTTGATTGCGAAGTACTTTTTTTTTTTTTTTTTTTTTTTTTCCCCTCCTGCAATTTCCTCCTCTTTGATTTTCCTGCTTGGAGGCTTTTCAGGTCTGGCAGTCTCTTTCCACCCACAGTATCACATTTCGGTTTCGCTCTGGCACCTGCCACTTTCCCTCCTTTCCTTTTTGTTTGCAAACGTCAGGAGCTGGATATCGACTGAGAAATTGCAAGAGACAACTCATTCTCTGGCTCCTCTGCTTTCCCCCGGTGCCTGTGAAGCTGCAATTCACAGCTAGCCCAAAGTGATCCATTTCCAGCTCGATGGGGTAGCCGAGCAATGCTCTCATACCCGTGTTTTTGTCTAACAGCCCTATTTTCCTCGCAGGGGTCTCGGAGATTGGCTTGGCCGACCCTTGCAATAGGAAGATCTCCCCACAGCATCCTGCAGTGGCCTCAGCCTCCGTAGCCTCTTCCCACCCCACCAGCCTGCCTTGTCCTTGTCAATGCCAGCCCTTTTTTCATGATGACACCACGGGGATGTGGTGGCATTGGGGCGCTGGGCACCTTTGCAAGGAGCTTGGAAAAGCCCCATCGCAGCCCGGCTGGGGGCTGCAGTGGTGCTGAACCTGTAGGACTGCCTCCGTCTCACCATTTTCTTCTGCCTCGTGCCCATGCTTTGAAAGCCAAACACAGGAAAGACCCCATTCCCCGGCCTGGCTGCAACCTTGCCCACCTCCATCACACCCGTCAGGGTCTTTGGTGACTGCGGGGGTGATGGCACGCGCTTCTGCCACACTCAACGGGGGATATTTGGGGCTGGTGGTGCTGGAGGGAGAGGCTTTCCCAAGCCCTGTGGCCACCTGTCCTGTCTGAAAGCCCTTTTCCAGCGCAGGACACATGCTCCCTCCAGCCCTCCCCATACTTTTCTTGGGGGGAAAGGTGGACAGATGCGAAGAGCCAGCCCTGAGGCAGATCCCAAAAGGGATGCGCTCCTCACCTCCCTTCCCCATAGAGGAAACCGAGCACAGGTGCAGTGGATGGACCTGAGGAAGTCTTGGTGGGTGGCTTTGTAGCCATCTCAGGAGCTTCCTGGCCATCTGGAAGCACTGACACATCTTTTCTGCTTATTCTGAGCTCTTTGGATCTGCATCCCTTGTTTTTGGTTTGTCTGCCTCTAGGAGGGATTGGCAGGCTGAGCTGTTTGCCTCTGCAGAGAGCAACGCTAAGATACAAAATAAAATTAAAAAGGAGGGGAAAAAAAAAAATACAAAATGCCCATGTGCAGGCACGCACAGCAGTGTGAGGCACAGATGCCTCAGCACAGGGTAGGAAGGCAATCTGGGGCCCGCTGCTCCAGCAGTGGCTGCAGCTTTCGGAGCTGTGGGGATGATTGAGGGCAGCTCGGGGCAATTTGCAGCCTGCATTCATGAGGGTGCTGCCACGTGCAGGCCTTTTGGAGGTGGGAGTCCACATCGCTGCTGTGCACCCGTCCCTGTGGGTGTGCAGTGCGCTCTGGTGCCTCGATGCCTGCGGGCTGCTGGTCGTGGTGGGGGCTTGTGAGAATCAGGGGAGTGGAGAGGAGAAATCGGCAGTCAGGCTGATTGCTGGGGGAGGCAGCCAGGTTGCTCCTCGTGAGTCTCCAGCTGCAAGAAGGAGGCTCCCTCTCGTGGGGACCTGCTGCAAGGGCTGGGGAAACTGAGGCACCGGGAGACAAAAGGCCAGGGTGGATTTTCCCATCCTGACGCCTGCTCTTGAGGCCAGTGAGCATTTCATCCCTACAGAGCAGCCCTTACAGTCACAGAGGTTCCTCTGGGTGCTGCCTGCCTCAAACCCTTCTTTCCTGGGACTGTCCCCTGATTGATGGCTTGGAGCCCACCCCCTGTGCCCCTCTTTTCCCCCCTTCTCCAGGCAACTCCCCCTCGGACGAGTCGGAGGAGCGTGAGCGGGACCCCAAGGTGCTCACCTTCCCCGAGTACATCGCCAGCCTCTCCGAGTCGGGCACCAAGCGCATGGCGGCCGGCGTGCGGATGGAGTGCCAGAGCCGTGGGCGCTGCCCCTCGTCCTGCCCCCTCTGCCACGTCGCCTCCGGCCCCGACACGCCAGCTGAGCCCATCCTGCTCGAGGTCACCAAGGCGGCCCCCATCTACGAGCTGGTCACCAACAACCAGACCCAGCGGGTGAGGAGCTGGGGCTGGCATCAGGGTGGCATTGGTGGCCCTTGACCTCATCCCCAGGGTGGCTGGACCATGCTGAACCGTTTTGGCCTCACCCATGGGGAATGGATGAGCACAAGCTCTGGTGGTGGGATGCCCGCCCGGTGCTCAGCCCCTTCTCCTCCCTCCCAGCTCTTGCAGGAGGCCACCATGAGCTCGCTGTGGTGCTCGGGCAGCGGGGATGTCATCGAGGACTGGTGCCGCTGCGACTCGAGTGCCTTCGGGGCCGATGGGCTGCCCACCTGTGCGCCTCTCCCCCACCCCATGTAGGTCCCCGTGCCTGGACCCTCGGTGGTCCTGCGAGGGGGTGGTGGTGGCCCCATGGTGGTGGGCCCGGGGTGGCTCTGTGGGGCAGGGGTGCGAGCAGATGGGGGATGTGGGAACCAGGCAGGGGGTGCAGAGATGCAGTGCCTTTTCCAAATTCGGTTGGGCATTGGGGATGGGATTTTGGATCCGTCCTGGTAGAGCAACCTCAAGGAAGGAGCTCTGGGGAGCAGTGTGCCCACAGCCAGGAGGGGGCAGAGAAGGGGGGATCACCTCTATCCGGGTGGGTGGCAGGGCTGCTGGTGGACCTGTCCCTCTGGGGACACTGATGGGCTGGCATTGCCCCCCAGCCTGCGGCTCTCCACCGTGCACGAGCCCAGCAGCACGCTGGTGGTGCTGGAGTGGGGGCACTCGGAGCCCCCCATTGGGGTGCAGATCGTCGACTACCTGCTCCGCCAGGAGAAAGTCACCGACAGGATGGACCACTCCAAGGTGGAGACCGGTGAGTGGGGGCTGCCTCCGGGTGGCGGGTGGGATGGAGGCGTTGGAGCAGAGCCTCTGCCTCTCTCTTTGCAAGGGGATGCTGCTAAATGTACCTTATCCTGTGGGAAAGAAAGCAGCCCCTCCCTGCCTGCCGTGCCGCAGAGGTGCCAGCCCTGGGGACACCGGTACCATCACCCACGGTGCGTCCTTCTCTGTCCCCGTAGAGATGGTGCTGAGCTTCGTGGACGACATCATCTCTGGTGCCAAGTCTCCCTGTGCCATGCCAGCCCAGGTGCCCGACAGGCTCTCCTCCACCATCTCCCTCATCATCCGCTGCCTGGAGCCCGACACCACCTACATGTGAGTCACCTCCGCCCGTGGGACGCCGCTCGGGTGTGCGTGAGGGCTCGGGAGCCTTCACCGCTGTCCTCCTCGGCCAGGTTCACCCTCTGGGGAGTCGACAACACGGGGAGACGCTCCAGGTCCAGTGATGTGACGGTGAAGACACCCTGCCCTGTGGTAGATGATGTGAAAGCTCAAGGTGAGGTGGAGCTGGTGCTGGCCTGGCACATCGCATGTACAGCTGGGAGTACTGGAAAGCAGCTTTGTTGTGCGAGATGTGGAAACCTGGCTGGGACTCGGGCAGGGCTTGGAAAGGAGGGTACAAAACCACCCCAAATCTGTATGTCTGTGGTCACAGGGTGAGCATGCCCAGGGTGACACTTGGGACCAGTGACGGGGGGTTCCCCACTGACTGTCCCCACTGATTGTACCCTCTGGCTGCTCCTGTCCTGGCCTCAATGTCCCCTGCACCCCTGATGGCCCAGGCAGTGTGTGAGGCTGAAGGCTGGCACGGGGGGCAGCAGGAGGAACCCATTCCCCCCACAAACAAGCACAGAAGCAGCCTGTGCTCATGCTAAGACAGGTGGAGGGGTAGGCACTGGGGACACATTGGGCACGGGTGGGGGAATAGCCGAGAAGACCTGTCCTGTCCTGCCCAAGTGACTGATAGCATCGGTGATGCCCGAAGAAATCCCAGTTGTGTTCCTTCTGGTAAATAAATTGGATTTCACCACCAGTACCTGATGACACTGCTCGTTTCTCCTCCTAATTGGATCAAACTACGGGAGCCTAAATTGGATTGATTAGTCCAGCTGAGTCCGGGTGATGCCATCCTCTCTGTTGTTCCTCCAGTGCCTTGATACGACATTAATCATACCCCGGGGGACAAATCTTGGCTCCAGTAACGGCCGTGGAAGATGCGCCTCATGGTTCCACCAGAGCCAAGCATTGTCCTGGTGGGCTTTGTTCTTTGTGCTCATCTCTTGCACCCCACTGACTAGCCCTTGTCCTCCTGCCCAGAAATTGCCGACAAGATCTACAACCTCTTCAATGGCTACACCAGTGGCAAGGAGCAGCAGACAGCCTACAACACCCTGCTGGACCTGGGCTCCCCCAGCCTGCACCGAGTGCTCTACCACTACAACCAGCACTACGAGAGCTTCGGGGAGTTCACCTGGCGCTGTGAAGACGAGCTGGGGCCCAGGTAGGCTCGGGAGCCGGGTGGGCTTGCTGTGTGTGCCAACAGGGTCCGGTTGTATGTGTCTGTTCTCCTTCTTCCGGGCTTTGGCTTGACTTGTCTGTGTGCTGATCTCAGCACCACCCCTGCAGCTGCCTGGAGATGCAGTGTTTCCTGCCCTGTGTCCCCAGATGTCCCCTGCCCTGTGTCCCCAGATGTCCCCTTCTGCCCGTCTCCTCCCGTGCCTGCCCCTGTCTGAGTCGTTTTCCAGTAACGTGGCTGTTTCCGGGCGGTTTAGCAAGCTGGGCTGAGAAATTATGTGGGTTGCAGTGGTGTTTCCTAGCAGCTGGCCTCCACAGAACTGGAGTCCTGAGCCCGTCCAGTATTCAGCATTTCTTCAGATGTACGTCAGCAACAGATCCCATCTGGGAAACGCACGGTCCCCCTGCTCAACACCTCTTCTCATCAGTCTCACCTCTGGCTCCCTTCCAGCCCTGCTTCTCCAGGTGATCACGGGTGGATTTCTGGCAGAGGATCAGAGAGCACACGTACCTTTTCTGCCCTCCGAGTCTCCACTAGGGAGGCAGAAGGTCTCAGTAGATACCTGGTGGCTGTCTTGCTTGTAGCATCCCTTCACATCCCTCCTAGTTCGGCTTTGCTGGGAAACCCTCCAGTGATCCTCAGCTTCCTGGGGCAAAGCTGGCTTTTCTCCTCTTTCCCCTTTTTCGATTTATTTTCTAAGAAACTTGAAGTCTCTAAGGCAGAGCGTCAAAGCTCGGGAGCAACCTCCCAGTGTACGGAGACCTCTGGTTATGGCTTCATTCCCAGGATGTGAGTAGGACCCATCTCCGTTGCCACACGTGAAATCCAGCCCCGGTTTGCACAGCCTGTCTGACATCTGCTGCAGTGGTTTGTGTGAGGAGCAAGTGAAGTGACACACCAGGTTTGTCACACAGCCACTGCTGCTGTCCGGGGCAGACATTGCCGTCAGTGCTCATGGTGCCAGTGAGGAGAGCACAGCACCACCAGGACGTGGGGTGGAAGCCGTCTGCTCAAGCCCCACGGGGCAGAGCGATGTTGGCACGGGGTGACCAGAAATGCCCCGGGATGACCCAAATGTTGCTGTTTGCTGCAAGTCAGAGGGTTAATTCCACCCGCTGGAAATGCTGGAGAGCTTAGGGTGGGGTGACGCAAGCTGCTGATGAAGTGCTCGCAGCTCGCGCTGCTTGGAAGGAGAGGTTGAGGCAGCTGCAGCGGGATCTGGTGATGACAAATCTTGGAAAGCAAGCCTCCTGTCTGATCGTCTGTGAGGGCGAAGCATCCAGACTGGTGGTGACAGGACAAATCACTCGCAGATGACATTGTTTAGCCAGCAGACGGAGGATTTGTGTGGCTGCTGCTGCTGCTCCTTTGAAGTGCTGGACGCGGACCCACGCGAGCGACTCGGCGATGCTCCCCCAGCTCCGCGCTGCCGTGCCGCCTTTGGCTCTGCTCACACTCATCCTCCTGCTCGCCAGGGCTGGCTGCTGGGCTGAGGGAAGCAAGTATTGCGTGCAGATAGCTCGGTCGGGGTTACCGAAGCGAGACGGTCCCTCCCAGTCTGGGAAAGGCTGCAGAGAGCTCTGGACTTTGCATACAAAGACGTGGAGAGGAGGGCGGGTCATTTTCCAGCAAGCCACAAGTGAGAAGAGGCTTTGGTGCGGATCCTGGTGGAGCTCGCTGGTGTTTGCGGCCTCCCTTTGGGTGTCAGACCTGGCCAGCCTGGAGCTGCAGCCACACGGAGCCAGCAAGGGGAGAGCTGTGGCTCGCAGCCCCTGCTTATCCAAGCAAGAGCGTGAGAAAGGTTTTTGTCCCCAGCATCACGATTTGCCTCTCTGCTGCCTGCCCCGTGCCGAGTTACTGCAACCACGGGGACGTGTCTCCTGTTCCTTGTCTATGCCAGCCCAAAAAGTGACCTTGAGGCTGGCTGGGAAACTTGTTCCAGCCCTTGGGACAATGACAGTGTTGTCTGGGTTTCCAGGCACCCGTAATACTCACCTGCAAGACACTTCATTTGGATCCATTACCTCCACATTTGCCAGATTCCCCCGAGATCACCTGAAGTGCTAGACAAGTTTAAACCGAACATAACGCGTTTTGCCTGAACAAAGTGTTGCTCTTGATCAGAGCATTAGAAGCACAACTTTCAGAGGAAAAAAAGCCTGAAGAGAAAAAGAGACAATTTGGGTCGTATTTGGCCAGGATCGCCCGTGCTCCTCCTGTAACTAATCCAGCACGAGGGGCTGGTGGTTTAGCACTTCCTCGTTATCAGCACAAGCCCGCACCAACGTGGTGCTGCTCTGGGGGTGCTGCAGGGGCCCTGCTGCTGGGGGTGGCTCGTGCCCAGCCCTCCTCTCCCCCTGCCTCCCGACCCCTTCCCCTGGCTTTCTTGGCTGGGTCTCACAAGCAGCGTGGGCTGCCTGACGGCTCCTTACCAACCCCTGCTGCTCATTTCTTTCCCTGCAGCCAGAAAACATGGAAAATGCATGTTCAGAAGAGAGGGGGGTTTCTCTTTCAGAGCTTTTCTGTGCTAAGCTGATGTTGTATGCGTTGATGTATTCCTTCTAGCTTGCACGCTGTCCTGTGGGACACATTTCCTAAACTGTTATTAAGCATTATAAGTCATGTGTCAGGAGTGTCGTTGACTGTACTTACATTTTATGACACCGCATCTTATGGGGCTCATAACAAAACCCCACAAGCCAGCCTAATACAGATGACAGGCATGATAGTTTGAGTGTTTTTTTTTTTTTTTTTTTTTTTTTTTTTTTTTCCCCTAAATCTCCTTCATGCTCAGTGATGTCCCAGCAGGCTGGTTCCCAACGCTGTGCCACGTGGTGGCAAGGGAGCGATGCTCCCCGCATGTTCCTGGCGGCTCCTCGCATTTCTCCCCCTCTCCCACCCTGTGATTTGGGGTCCTGGAGCTGCAGCGGTGTCAGGCGATGCCGCTTGAGACGCTCTTGGGGCTCGGGCACCCTTTAACCACCTTTACTTTTCTCTCCCCACGCTCTCGTCCTGCCCTCCCTGCCGCTCCCCATGGTGTTTCCGTCGCCCCCGCCGCAGGAAGGCTGGCCTCATCCTCTCGCAGCTGGCAGACCTCAGCAGCTGGTGCCACGGCCTCCTGCAGGAGCCCAAGATCAGCCTCCAGCGCTCGTCCCTCAAGTACCTCGCCTGCCGCTACAGCGAGATCAAACCCTATGGGCTCGACTGGTCGGAGCTCAGCCGGGACCTCAAGAAGACGTGCGAGGAGCAGACGCTGAGCGTCCTCTACAACGACTACGGGGACAAGGACTACTGAGGGACGCAGGCACCCGCCTGCACGCCGGCCCTGCCGGGGCAGCGGGGAGGGTTTTATATACGGACCCACAGCGGGGAGGGGGGTGTCTCTGGAGACAAAAATTGGGAGCGGGGAGCGAAATGGCTGCTCTGCGCAGTTCTGCCTCAGTATTAGTTTCTTCTTTGGCTTGGCCAAAAGTCTTTCTAGTTAGGAGTCTTGTGGGACCCTGTTTTCTTGGTTTGTTCTGTTCATGTTGCCAAGAGGTTCCTTGTGGTGGGTGTGGGGACACGGAGACGGCAGGCTGTGGGGCACGGCCTGGGGACCACCCCGTGTCCCTGCCCCAGCCACGAGGGGCCACTGGTCGCAGGAGAAGCATGGTGACACAGGTGGGAAGGGAGAGCTGGGGAAACGGAGACGGGCACGCAGGTCGGGCTGAAATGCTAATGGTTATCGCTGAGCAAGACAGCCACCAGGCAGCCAAGAGGGTGTTTGGGGTGTATTTGTTGTTTGTTGTTTTTTTTTTTATGGTTTATTTTTACAACTGTAAAGCATGAGGTCTGGATGAGACTTGGCTCAGCTGCGGTGTCATCGGCCCAGGTGAGGGGAGGAGATGGGCGGCGGTGAGCCCACCTCCTCGGGGCTCCTCTGCCACGGCCAGCTCCCTGTCAGCTCGGAGATGCAGGGTGCTCGGGGCAGAGGCAGCCTGGCCGCAGGGCCAGCGGTCAGCTGGACAGTGCGGTCTTTTTTCTCGTGGGACCAAACTCCTAGGAAGTCAACTCAAAAATCCCTTCCTTTTTTTATTATTATTTATTATTTTTTTTTATTTTTTAACCCACCGTAATAAAGACTTAGAAGCAATGACAAACTAATGTTTGTCAAAAGCTGAAAAATGGAGGCTGGGCTCCATTCAGAGCAAACCGTTCCCCAAAACCCCATTACCACTGATGCTGTTGGAGGCAGCAAACGGCTTCATTTTAGCCTCAGCTACCAGCCTGGTTCGCAGAGGAGGCACCTCTGGACTTGCCAGCTGTGCACCTTTGATCTGGACAAGCCAGGAGTCCCGCAGAGAGATTTTTTTATGATGCCTCTTCAGAGCGAAATTTCCTTTTCATTTTTCAGTCTTGGCAGGAGCAATCTTCAGCCTTGTCTCTTTTGATTTTCCACCTCGTTCCTCGCATTACCTGCTGAGGACACGGCTTCAGTATTTGTGCAGCACCGGAGGGGAGGCTGCCGTGGCCTGCAGCCGGTCACGGCCACCGGTGCCGTGCCGCAGAAGTTGCACAGCAGCCGATCAGAGCACACAAGCATCCCCCAGCAGGACAATGCTGCATTTTTTCCTCCCCACGGGCAGAGCTCTCATGTGGGGGCAGCTAGGCTGGGTGGGATTGCTGCTGGGCACAGCCACCAGCAGTCAGTATTACCTGGGCATCCGAGTGTCATTTGTGTAAGGAGTTCATCTGGCAGGGCTCAGCAGCCAAACACCTGATTTTTGCAAGCAAGAAGTCTACCAGAGCCTTCAGGCTTCCCCTCACGTTTCCTTCCATTTTGATGTACTAAACGCTGCCGACGGCTTGGTGCTCCGAGCAAGCCCAGCACCGTCTCCATGCTCAGGTACACATGGGCAGGTGCTCCGTTTCCTTTCAGCCACGGGGAATCTTGGCCAAGATGCTTTGGTTCGGTCTCTTTCCTTCCAGCCGACACTGAGACATCCTTTAACTTCCATCCAGGCAGCTGGCCAGCAGTGAGCAAAGGGCACCTCCGCGCAGCGCCTCGGAGGGATGCTTGGACAGAGGCTGCTCTGGCCCGGATGCGACTTGGTAGCTGGCCATGTAATACCGCTTACGTGGCCTTTATAGGAAACACAGACGGTTTTCCTTTTGGGAGCAGCCTCCTCCCTCGTGTTGCTTACGAGGTGCAGGAGCAGGGCGGGCGCAGCCAGCCAGCCGTGCACCCTGACTGCCAGGAAAACCCCGTGTGCTCGGTGGCTTTTTCACCCAGACGCAGAACTTACCGCGGGGCCCTGCGGGTGTTTCCGTTCTGCTCCCACTCTACAATTTCTAAGTCCTTGCATGGTCACTGGAAACACTGCAGAGCCTCCTTTGAGCCCTGTGGTTGGGTGAGGGCTCCCTTGGCTGGGAGAGGCACACCCTAAGGGTGAGGTGACCCACACGAGGTCAGACACCAAGACCCTCGCATGGGGTGGGATTCATTGTCCCCAGCCCATGGCAGGCACCACTCTGTGGCACCTGGGTGACCATCACAGTGTCGCCACATGCCTGTCTTGGTGCAGCGTATGCCCATTTTTGTGGCAGCACTGGCTTGCCCAAACTTGTACTATTACTATTAAAATTTTTTTTTTTTTTTTTTTTTTTTTCCCAAATCCCTGAGTTACAGCACATATGCTCATCTCAGACAGCTGCTCAGACAGCCCCGAGGCATCCCCTTCCCTGCAGAGCTGGAGGACTTCATCTGCCGAAGGCTCCTGCCCCAAACAGCCAGCCCTGGCTCTGCACAGTGTTTCCTCTTGTGGACTCCTGCCTCTTTCCGTGCTGCCAACCACAGGAGAAGACAACGTGTTTTGTCCTTTTCCCAACCTCCCTCACCCTCCTGACCTCTCTCCTTGTTTTATTTCCGAATTAACGAATGACCATTCACCTGAGATGAACCTCTGGGTCATTAACTTTTCTTTGCTGCACCCCTTCCCCTGTAATAGCATTACTACCTTTTACTTGTTGTGCCGTTATTTAACATATAAAGATGGTTTGGTCCTTTTCTTTAAAAAGATGGCTACAATTCATGTTCCTTGATGTTATATTAAAACTCTAATGTGACATTTTACTACTGTAGATTGAAAGTAGGGTGCTCTAGGGTTGGACAGCCACGTGGCAAGAAATGCAAAACCCTTCCAGATTACTTAAAAAAAAAAAAAAAGGTTTTAAAGAACAACAACAACAACAAAGTCACTAGCACTATGTACAACTCCAGATGATAATTTAACCGACTATTAAATGGAGCTGTTAGTAATCCGTGGCTCTGGCAATCTGGGATGTTTGTTTGCAGTTTTGGTCCAGCTGATGTCATCTCTTGGGAGCGGATGAAAAGCTCCCAGGCTTTGAACTCTTTGCCTCTTCACACGAGTTCAGCATTAGCCCGTCTGCCCAGCAGGTTAGCCAAGTCCCAAAGCACGGAAGGAGCCTCGCCTCGGTTACCCTCACCTGCTCCAGCGGCACAGGAAGGTCCAGGTCCCTTTGGGTTTGGGGGATGGATGGTGTTAACACACCCTCAGCAAGGGGCTTTGCTTTGCAAACCTCCACGGATGCTGGGAATTTGGGAATGGATTCCCAAAAAAAGCCTTTTAGCCTGTTTTCAGATAGCAGGTGGATGGGACCATGCGGTCTGGTGGTCCACCACCCCCTGCCCCACTTGGCAGACCCCTGGCAGAGGAGCAGCAGCATCGAGAACATCAGCTGCCTACAAGTGATGCAAAAAGTGGTGCCTGAGCAGGTGTGGGAGACGTAAAGGATGCCTTAAAATTCACTTACAGTGCAATTGAGCATCCAGAGGCAGCACACTGGTGGCGGCAGGGCCCTTCCCCAGGCCTGCTGCATGTTGCCACCAGCCCTGCCAGGAGGTGGGAGACCCAGGGGCGGCTGGGGATTGCTGTGAGCGCAGACAGGACGCCTGGCAGGATATGGGAGAGGGGGGATTTAGGGGCTCTGGAGCACAAATCCATAGGAAACCAGACTTCATTCCGCCTCATGGAACAAATTGATTTTTTTTCTCTCTTCCCACTGCTAAATTGCAGGAAAATAAGTTAAAAATACACCCGATACTTTCCTTCTACTATTTTCCATGCAGCTCACTGCCGTGGCTGCCACCAGCTTGTTGCACAATGACCTGTGAAGGAGGAGGAGGAAGAGAAAGAGGAGGAAGAGAAGGAGAGAGGCTGTATGGCAGTGAGATGGGGTCACAGGCATGAACTGCTGTGTCGGAAGATCCTGATGTGAAAGCCAGGGGAGAAAGTCACCCCCAACAGGGCAAAGCGGGCTGTAAAGGATGCACCACCAGCTGAAGGGAAAGGCAGCATTAGGCCTGGAGAGGGGGTAGGCACAGCCCCAGCCTTGCTCCCACCTGTGTCTCCCAGCTCCCCAGAAGCATGCAGGTGTGATTCCCTGATTTTGGCGTTCTAAAATGATGAAAATCTGCTGGTTTAAGTGCCTTTCAGCTCCGTGTGTGTGTGTTGGAAAGGCTGCTGTTGGCCAGCAGACTTTATTTACCCTCTACAAGGAGGTGCTCGCAGGGATTTCTTCATTTTAGAGCAGGCATGGGTAACATCCCAGCACTGCAGCCCTCACGCAAGACACCATGTCCCCATGGTGCCAGTAACCACCTCATTTTGTAATTTCAGCATGGACTCCTTGGGCATCCCAACTGCTGCCAAAGCTTCCCAAAACCCAGTCTGCGTATCTGGAAGAGCCACCACCCTGCTCGACTGCATGTCCCCCTTGTCTTGGGGACGCGGGGGCCGGGCTCTCTTGCTTCGAGGCTGGGTGGTTGGTGGGAAGGAGGGGATGGGATGGAAAAACTGCTCTTCACTTGGCTACTGCCCTAGACATCGGCCCTGTTTTGTTTTAAGTGCAAGCCCCACAGCTGGAGTGCTGGTTGCTTGGTGGCTCCCTCCCATGCTTGAGGCTGTGGGGCCTCTTAATGAATTGTCCTCCGTAAAAATCTGGTCCTGGTGGGAATCTGTGCTCTGGGGACATCGGGTGTCAGTGGGAACTGCTGTTCCTCCTCTGGGGAGCGGCGAGAGGCTTCCTGCAAAGACCAGGAGCGAAGGAGGGGCTGGTGCTCACCAGGGGGAGGCGTGTGGCTGCTGGAGGAGGAGAGGGAGCAGGGTATAAAGACAGGACAAGGGACGTGGCAAATGGAAGATAATACAGAGGGACGCTCTGGATGGGTTGAGCATCCCCAACAGGAGCACCCCAGACCCCCCCAGGTGTGCTGTGAAAGACAGTGCTGGAGGCAGCCCTGCTGTGTCCCCACACCCAGCACCCCCAGGGCTTGCCGTGGCCTCCCTGCCTTCCAGCAGCAGCATGAGCCCGGGCAGCTCAGCTTGTTTCCATCAGCACATCTGGCTCCAATTGCCGGCAGAAGGAAGGGCCCCACACACCCGGGCTGCAGTGACAAGGGGACGGGTGTTCGACAGCACCAAGCCGCCCTCGCCCCCCCAGGTGTCTGGTGATGGAGGGGGGCTCACCCAGCACACAGCCAGCGCGAGGGGCTCCTCCTCGCATGTCCTCTTCCCATTGCCCTTCTCTGGGGCTGGGGCCGGTGACATGCTCATGCCAGGAGGAAATTTGGGATGTTGTTGCCTTCTGTAGCCTCAGCGCTGCCCCACGGCATCCATCAGCCCCCCAGCCCGCTGCTGTCGCTTGTGTTTTCCAGTCCTGCCCGACCTTTCCGCTCGCTCGGCCGTGACTCACCTTCTCCGACGTCTGCAAGGGAGGCGTGCGGTGGAGGAAAGACAAACAGCTCCTAGCTCGGGTTTGGGCTGCTCAAACCCTGCCGCGGAGCCGCCAGAGGTTGCAGGGGCTCCTTGGGGACCACCCCACACTGGGGCAGGTGAGTGTCCGGACAGGGGGACTACAGCCCTGGTCCGACAGGGGGAGAAGTTTGGAATAGTCACATTGGCAATGGGAAAGAGAAGCCCTGGAAGCTCCTTTCCCTAAAGTCTACAAAAAGCAATATTTCCTCTGAACAAACCGTCCTGGAGCCCCTAGGACATGACCAAACAGCGGGCTGGCCCTGGTTGGGATGTGGCCACCATCTGTGGACGTCCCCTGTCTTGGGGACATAGGATGTTTGTGGGATTTGGGGACATCCATGGGACCAGGCTCAGCTGGCACTGTGGCATTAGCTTGTCCTGGTCCCTGTTACACTCCACGATGGTGGGTGCTGAAGTCACTGGCATCCCTTGGGCTCACCACCATCTGATGGCAGAACTGGAGCCCAGCACCGTGGTGCCACCCACCTCATGCAGGGCTTTTTGTCTGTATGTGCACATAATATGTGGTTGTCAAAAATTAAATTAATATAAGGCTTTCTAAAATTATTAAACACCTTTCTTATCATTTTTGTTTTTAACTCTCTTGCCAGGGTGCCACTTGGCATGTTGGGCACTGATGTGAGCCATCCCGTGCTCCCTGTCCCCAGGGAGGTGGCACGTGAAATACACACACACACACACACACAAATTTCCTACTTTTATGCTGGGTTAATTACCAAAGACACCTGCTGTGGGCCAGTTTGTGGCATAAGCAGTGAAAGACCACTTGGCACAAAGGGAGAGAGGTGATGGTCACCCTTCTTGCCTGGCTGCAAAATTGTCCTTGCAGCTGGTGGAGGGCATTGAGGTTCCCCCAAACCCAAAAGGCCTTCTTCTGGTGGGCTGGGACAGTGCTGGGGGAGTCCGTGGTTTGGGGCAGAGGAGGGCTGTGGGTCGGGGGGCTACAGGAGCCACCGGACCACCTCAGTCCCGAGCCCAGAACCTATCAGCTCAAGCAAAGAGGCAGGAGAGGTGGTGGATGAGAAGATTATTTATTTTTCATAGATTTTTATAAAAAATAATTATCAAATACAAAAAAATAAAAATAGCAGCAGCCTCCGTTGTGAATAAAACCCTAAAGGGGACAAAAACCGCTCAGTGTCGCTATAGAAGAACAATATTTCGGTATGTAGAAGCTATTCAGCCATGAGAAGCACAGATCTCTACCAGCCAAGCCAGCACCTCCAGCCCTCCCATCCCTTCCTGCCCTTGGTGATCAGGGACAAGCCATGACCGAGACCAGGATTTTCATGCAAAAAGTGTACAATTTCAGCATCTAAACGCATAGGTGCCCAGGTAACGCTGACATCAGGCAGGTGACAAGATGCCAAGGCTTGAAATTCTCCCATCTCCCTCTGCGTGTCACCCTCATCCCGTGTACGTGTGGCCACCACAACCCCCTGGCCACCAGGTCCCCATGGTGTCCCCCACTCCTGCTGTGCCTGCGCCTGGGGGGCCCTGGGTGTCCCCTTCCCTGTGATGGAGCGGGATGGGACACCTGAGCTGCACCTTCCATGGGGCATCAGACTCACAGAGGGCTTGTTTTTCTTTTCCAATTTCCTTATTATTATTATTATTTGATTGAAAAGTTGCTTGAAGCCAAACAATTGCAGCTCTGCCAAACTGACGGTGCATTTGGGTGAAAAGATGGGGTGATTTTGCTTGTGCTTGACAGGACCAGAAATGTCCAGAGGAGGTGGGTCCCAGCACCCCCTTGAGCATCCCTGCCTGGGCCAGAGCACGCAGCGAGGGCAGGACAGGACGTGACCAGCTGCAGGTAATGGGAGCACTCAGGGCTTGGAGAAGGACATGGCATCTCCTGCCTGGGTGCTGGTGGGATGTCCAGGTGCCTCTGCCCCCTGCTCCTGTCCTCCAACCAAATACAACTTTGGGAGATGCCTGACAAAAAATGCTGTGAGGAGGATGCTAGTAAAAGCCAAAGGATGCCTTGAAAATCCCTGGTCTCTCCACACCGTGTCACCCTCTCTCCATCGCTCCTGCACCAGACAAACCCTGGCTTGGAGCCTGACTCCACCGGCTCAGGCCAGGCACCGAGGATGCAGCTGAGCAGCCTTGGGCCTCCCAGCCTGAGCCTGCGGCTGCAGAGCCTCCTAGACACCGATGGGTTTCCGTGCTCCTGCTCTGGGGTCCCTTCTCAGCTCTCCTTCTTCTATTCCTTTTCTCTTTGCAGCACAAAAACATCGGTGACAGCCCCAGCTGGAGCTGGGCCCTTCCCAGTCTGCCACATTATGGGGCTGGCCCGGGCTCCCACACCAAGCTTTGGGGCAGGGGGCAAAATTTCTAGCTGGGCCTTTTCGGGGTGAGGAGAGAATCTGAAGATTTTCACTTGGTATCTACAGGAGGAAGAAACTCATCGACTGGATGTGCAGTGCAATGAACTGGGCCACAGAGATAGCAATAAGCAGAAGCTCAGCAGCAGATGATGCTCAAGGTGTCCTGACAAGTCATCTGGGTCCTGTCCCTCCCTGTTCTACAGGGCCTGGTCTCCCCCAAGAGCTGCTGACTGAAGCTTATGCTTGGAGATGTGGGGAAAGAAAAGAAGGGCCACTTCAGCTTCCTTCATCTCAGAGCATCACAGTTACTCCAGCTTGCCCGTCACATCCCTCATCTAGCTGGATCTCACCAGCTGTGGTGCGTCCAGGGCACAGCAACACTTCTCAACCTCAAAATCCTGTTCCAGGACCAGCAGCAGGCAAATCCCAAGGGCAAAACTTGCCTTCGGCGGATACCGAGAACACCTCAAGGCCCTGGCCTCCATGCCTCCCACCTGGGATCTCTCTCCTGGCTTGGCTGGGATGTTTGGCTTCTCTGTCCTCCTTCCAGCTCCCTCTCAGCAAACGAGGGGGAATTCCCTGCTCTTCCCGCCCGGACCTGCCCTTTTCCCAATGGTTTGTACTTCACAGCAGCATGGGTGTGTGACAAAGGGTATCCTTTCTCAGCTTCATCAAGAGCAAAGAAAATATAATATATATTTTTATATATTATATATATATATGTATATATATATATAATTAAGTTTAAATATTTGCGGAGATCACAACTACCTCGACCTTGCTAAAAGAAGCCTGTACAGCAGAGGGAGGGGGGTGAATAGTGACAAAATCCAGAGCAAAGACAAACGCTCAGACGCTGGTCCAGGACACACGTCCGTGGCAGCGTCTGGGCTCTTGGTGCTGGACCCTGCGCTGAGCCCCTCGGGCCAGACCCCAAAGTCCTGGGCAGGAGCCTGTGAGGCAGGGTGCGGTGATGGGGATGGGACCGCCCGGCCTCCTGTTCCACAGCCACCACCTGCTCCGTGGCTTCCACTGCCATCCTCCTGCCCGGCTCGTCCTCAGGCCTCCTGCCCCCGGCACCCTGCCACCACCCGTTGGTGCCCCTTCGCTCCTCGGGCGCTCGCCTGACCGACAGAGGTCCTCCACGGCCCCGCTACTGGTTCTCCTCCGCCGCCGGGTCACGGCACGTGCATTCGTCCTGGTCACAGTCAGCAGCAAATGGGATCACCTGGAGGGACACAAGGGAGAGGTGAGCCCAGGGCAAGCCTCCGCTTCGAGGCTCCTGGCCTGCCAGCAGCCCTGCAGCTCCACCAACCCTCTCCACCTCGGTACGGACAGACTTTGGGCTGATGTTGGTGTGGTGGTGACTGCTGGGCTCTACGCCCACCAGAAAACAGCTCCACCATGGGGTGTCCCCAGCGGTAGCTGCAACCCACGGTTGAGGTTTGTTCTTAGCGTTTTCCTCTTCAGTAACGTGCATTTGAAATTCTGCCATTGGGGTCAGCTTGAGTCTTGTGCTGCAAAAGTCAAACCCTCGGGAGAACTGTCCCCTGGTGGGTGTTAACCATTTGGACTAGGTGAGGCACGTCTAGATTTGGGTTTTACTTTGACCCATGGTAGAAAGCCCCCTGTGTCCATGCCTGAGCCCATGGTGCCATCCTTCAGCCCACTGCTGGCTCTTCCTGGCTCAGCCACAGCACAGAGGTAGCACGGCCTCGTCTTCTGCTCTCCTTGGAGGAGCTCGTGCTGCTGGAGAGCTGGGACCTAGGGGGGTCATGAGCTGGGGCTGGGTCTCCTGAGAGCCATGGGACTGAATCCCCCTGCCTTCTACTGCAAACCCATCCTTTATTTTGGCCAGAAATGCAGATGTCTCAAACCCTTGAGAGCCATGCCTGGCTCCGAGATGTGATACCGGTACACAGGCTTCACTCATCACTTGGGTGTAAAGCCTTTTCTCTCCTATCTCAGCTGGATCTTCCCAGGATTTCATTTTTCCCTTTCTCTCTGTATGTGTGTGTGATGAAAGGAAAAATGATTCAAGCTCCACAACAAAGATGAGAAGATCCAAATTCACATATTTTTGCAGTGAGAAATTATCTCGTGCCCTATGGTTTGTTTTGCTGTTGGATATGTTTAGGAAGGATGGGCTGTGAGTACTGGATAGCGAGTTAGATGGGAGGGGTGGTTGTGGTGGGAGACAAAGAAGGGTCTGCACAACTCTTCAGCCGAGTTGCTCGCTCTGTGCTATTCCTCCTTCTTTCCCCCGAGTGCTGGGAGGGAAACACAACCCACAGCAGATGCCAAATGCCAAAGTCCCTTGAGATTGCTCTGTTATACAAGGTGACTTCTGACTCACCGCGACTAGCACTATGATGGAAATCATTTATTTGGGATTTATTGCCCAAAATGAGAGGGAATCCTGTGAGCTTCAGCGGGAGCTGGGTTGAGCTCTCAGTCCCACTGGCGTGGGTCCAAACCTCACTGTAATCAGTGGAATTGATGTCTATCAGCTTCAGCTGGCTTTGGTTTAAAATCATGGGTTTGTTGATGGGAGAATTGCCTTGCAGGCCAGTTTCTGCAGCCAGGAAAGCCGAACAACATGGCTAGCAATGACCACTTACTCCAAAATCCAGGCACTTACCTTCCTGGAGGACAGTGTGGAGGAGCAGCAGTCACCCCCGTCGTACTGGCAGTATGCCCGGTTGTTGATGGTGTCACACCAGCCGTCTGCTTGGAAGGGCTAGAGAAAGGAGTCGTAGACGAAAGGGTTATTCAGAAGTGGAAGGTTGCCCCCAAAAGCAGAGATCCTTGGTCCTCAGCAAGGCCACCATGTGCCCCTGATGAGACAGGGCCTTATTCCAAGATGCACTGCCTAACCCCAAGCCAAGGGCCACCAGAAGACGGTGCTTGCGGGGCAGCAGCTCTGGGATGGGCTTCCTCTGCCCAAGGGAATTATGCCAGGAAACGAGAAGGCAAATCCACACTGCACGAGGGGGCAACAGACTGAGTGCCACAAGACCCCATCCCACTCAGCACCTCTCCACAGAGCCCAGCGCAGCCCACCTAGGAGTGAGTTCATCACCTCACCTGCTCGTCCACCTTCTAACACTGTCCTCATGCAGTGCCCCCGTAATCCCGCTCTCTGCGTGCTCACTGCCAGGGCAGGGCTCGGTGAGAGGCTGGCCCAGCCCTTCCCTCCATCACCCCTCTTCCCAAAGAGCTTGGCTCTGAGGTAGAGCCTGGTGACCTGGCTTGGGCAGCTAAGAACAGAGAGGCTGTTATGAGGAGCAATGGAGCATCCCTTAGACTATGAGAGAGGTTGGCAAGGTCAGGAGTCCCACAGGAGCACTTGTGCCCAAGACAAGCCAACGCTGGCAAGTGCTGGTTGCAAGGACTAAACCTTTTCCAGAATGCTCCTGGTATGGCCCTACCCCAGGGGAATTGCCCCCTGATTCCTCTAGGCTCTCCAGTGGAGGCTCTTGCCCAGTCCACAGCACACGGCTCTGCCAAACCTTGCCAGGTTGGACTGCACGGCTATTATCTGGTGTCTGGGTGGGAAGAAGAAAAGGGATCTTCGAGCACTAGCTCCCTGTAGGCAAAATCCAACTCTGGCTTGAGTGGAGAGGGCATCAGCCTACTGATGAGTCAGTGGGGGCCCCACCTGGCCCCCTGGGGGTAACGGTGCCCAGCTTGCCCTTGTGCAGCCCCATCATTAGCAACCTCCTGTGCTTTGAGCAGTAATGTGGAAACAGAAAGCTATTCCAAGAGAATAGCTTTCTGACCAGAAATATTAAATGGCACAAACAGCCATTCAGAAATCCACTTTATTTTCTTTCTTTTTTTTTTTTTTTTTTTGTTATGTTTAGTTACATGAGTCATCTGATCAGAGAAGAGAAACAAGCAACTGGAGCTGAGCAGCAGCCAAGTGGGGCTGCGAAACGAGGCCGTGCGACGGGTGCAGCCGAACTGCGTGCATGTGGAGCACTTGCAAAAAGCTGTCAGGAACGATCTGCAGCTGAGGTTTATTTATCGCAGATCCACATCAGCCCTGCCAAGCAACAACCGAATGTGCTAACAGAACGGAGAGGCCATTCATTAGCTGGGTGATTAGTAATGAAATAATTCTCCCGCTCTGCGCTGGTAGCTACTGGCCCAGCAACCGTGGCCATCCTCCAGGAGGACTGCTGTCATCAGAGAGGCTCCTGGTGGAAACCTGGCCATCCCGTTGCTCATGGAAGCAGCCGGCCCGTTTCACTGGGTCTGGAGGCCCCAGGTGACAACAGGGCTTAGGAGAACACACCCGACCGTGGCCTTTGGTGGCCACTCACCCACAGTGCTGCTAAACCACGTAGCAGCCTGCAGAGAAATGTCACCACACTGGGGCCGCCCGCACCAACCATGCTGAGGCCAGCACGGTGACAGTGTCACTGCTTCTGGTGCTTCACACCAGAGCCGAGCCCAAACCAGGAAACCAATGTGACTTTTTGTCAGCCCTAGGCTGGGGCCCAATATGGCCCCTCCGCTCCCCCCAGTGCAGGGAACAGGCGCAGGGGTTATGGCAAGCTGCTGAGCCCGTCGGTGCTAGCACTGCTGCAGCCACCCACAGCCCCTGGGGCTACCCCAGGCAGCTGGGTAGAGTTTTCTTTTCATGCCCCCAGCTGCTCATCCAAGCCTCTTTCCAGCCCAGGAACCACTGCACCTGAGTTCCCAGGGGATGTGGGCGAGCAGCACAGCTGCCAGAAGATGCACAAAGCCCTGAAGCCGAGCCCTCTGCAAAGCTCGTCCTAAGCCCAGGGAGAGGGGGCTCTGCACGATGGCTCTCACCTCGTGCCTCGCAGAAGTCCCCAGCACTCCCAGCCCCTTGGGAAGCTAAGGAGGACTGCTGGCATTTCTCCCATGAGGAAACTGAGGAAGAGAGGCAGGGTGGTTGCTGGCTTTGGCCGGCTGAGCACCACGTTGGTTCTCCATGGGGACATCCACCTCTGTTTGAAGCCCAGAGGACCTCGGGGAGCGATTTCACCAGTGCAGTAGGGCACACGCTCCTCGTCTTCTTCCTAAGAAAAGCTCCGGTGGCTCTCAAAGGACGGTGAGCAAATGTGCCTGGGCCGAGATGCGGTGGGCTGGGGTGGCGATGCTGGGGCTGGCAGGTGCGGGGACGCAGGCTGGGGGCTGGCTGCTGGCGGGGACACGCTCTGGATGCGATTTGCTTTCACGGCAGAGTTTTTCCTTGAGCTTTGCTCCATGTGTCATGACTCACTGGCAAAACAACACCTGCTGCTCCTGCAGTTTCCATCTAATTACTGCAGAGGATTGCCGGTCCCGGCTGCACAGGTCTGAAATGATTTCCAGATTGTGTCTTGTGTGCAAGGTGGGGGAGGACAGAGGCAGGGACAGGATGAGCAAGAAGAGGCTCTTGCTTTCTCCCTACACCTATTAGGGATAATTGTCCCCCTCCCCTCACCCCGCTGGAGCCCGTACCCCACCCTAAACAAATACAGGCTCCTATGGCAACACTTGTTGGGGAAACTTAACAGCTCATGCTCCGAATTACATTGGAAAAACATATGAGGGGAAAATAAGAAATGACTAATTGGACCAGAGGCTCCAGAAAGCCAGGAGCATGGGTTAGGGACCGCCAGCCTTGCTCCTCACAGCCCCAGGATGGGCTGGGACACTCTCAGTTCTGACAGGGCTGCAGCAGATCAAGGTGAGCTACCAGGGACGGGCTGGCGAGGAGATGCTGCACCTCTCAGCAGGGGAGACACCACGCATCCTGTCACTTTGCCCAGAAAGCCTCCAGCTGGTTTCAGTCTTTGCAAGCAGAAAGAGAAAACTATGGTGCTGCTGGATGCCCTTCATTTATGGGGGCACATCCGTGGGCTTTGGCTTTCCTCTGTCCATACTTGCATCAGTCTCATTGAGGTCTTGCAAGAGTCATGGGCAGTGCAACCAGCTACAAACAGGTGATGTGAGAGAGCGAATCACCTACAGACACCTGCAGCCTATCTTCGAGCCATGCAGCTCTGCAGGAAGCAATGCCAGCATGGGGTGAAGGGAGGTTGGAGCATGCCGGTGACTCCCAGAAGGACCTGAAGTGTTTTAGGATGTGACAGGGAGCTGTTCGGCCAGGCTGCGTGCCACCGTGAGCCAGGCTATATCATCCATCTTCCTTGTTCAGACAGGAGCATCGCCAGGACATGTGTTAGCACGTGGAGATCGGCATCTGGCACTGCAGGGCCCAGGCGATGCGCTGCCCTAATAAAAATAGTAACCACGCATCCAGTGTTTTGCTCACAGCTTTTTCCTCCATCCTGCAGAGCCCCCAGGGCTGGGGCTGAACTCACTGGCTCTGTCCCCACGGCTGGCTGATCCAAATCTGACAGTGCAGGGAGCCCCAGGGCACCTCCTTGACTCTTGCCCCATTGTCACTGGCGAGGTGGACGGGGTCCAGATGCGTTCTTCAAACCGCCTTATAAGTGAGTTGATTCACTGCAAAAGAGCCTGGAAGGGTGTGACAGGAATGGTGGTGAGCAAGACAGCCGGAGAGGCTGGGTTTGGGGAAGGCGGCGAAGCACGGCGGATAAACCACAGATGCCATCAGTACTGCACATACTTCGGTGCTGCGTCACGGGCGGTTGGTCAACAGCACGTCTCAGGAATGCAGGTTTTGCTCTGGTTGAGCAGACCTGAAGCCCCAGTACCTTGCTTTTGGCAATGACCCATTCCAGATGCTTCAGAGGAAGGTTGAAAAAATAAAAAAAAAAAGTGCAGCATACACCTGGCCAATTATGTACTGAACAGCTCTACTGCGCTGCTGTGGAAAATGCTTGTGATTTCAGTCTGCCCCTAGCTAGAAAAAGCCCAGATCCCCATTTTTGGGGATTAATCCATACTCAGTAAGCAAAATGTTTTCCCCCAGCTTCCAGGTCCTGGGCTTTGCAGCCATGGTGATCCCATCCAGAGAGGACACACAGGTCCTCACGTCCTTCACTTTGGGCATCAGTATTTTGGGCTTTGATGTGGAAGGCCTCGGACAACGTACCTGCCGGGATGGCCACATGCCACCACACAGGTGCCTCTCTGGAAAGCTGTAGCTTTCAAAGCAGCCCCGGAAAAGCATCATTTTGGCACAGGGACCAGCCCTGGAAAAGCTGCTGATGCTCTCAGCCCCACACCTTGTGCATCAGCTTCATCGCTGCTGCTTCTGCTCTTGTGGCATGAGTGTCTGCCAGGGCTTGGGTGGGAAGACTGGAGAATATCGAAGGGAGATGGTGCAACAAGGGAGACAGGAATGTGACTATGATAAGCCTCCACCAGGGAGTTGCTCCCCTCGGGGACAGCTGCAGATCTCACAGCACGTATGAGAAAGCTGCTGCACAGAGGAGGATGGTGAGCACAAGGAGGCTGCACAAGACCTGGGACACCACAGTCCCCAGGCAAGGTGCTTCAGAGAGCTCTGCTATTTCAGGATGTCTCTTGGAGGACATGAAGGGTGCCCTAGGCCTCGTTAAAAGGCTGGTTCACACAACCCTGCTGTGCATCCACCACCCCACAGTCTTTACTTGGGTCCCTAAAAATTCCCCTGTGGAAAAATCCCTGTCTCCATCCCTTCAGCATTGCTCCAAACCGCTGTTCCCTTACAGAAAACACAGGCTGCTTTCAGTCCCTCCAGCCACAGCCACAGCTAAAGGGATGCTCCAGCACAGTGTCCCCAGGACGCATCCCTTCCCTGCACACACTGACGCTGGTGGGGCAGAGAGCCCGGCAATTCTTGGCTCCCCTGGCTTGCCCAGGGAAGTTGACGGGGAATGCAGACTGTGGGAGGAAATGACAATGTTCATTGTTTGGATTAAATATTTTTCTTGGCCCTCTCTCTGTTGCAGCGTGTCTTTTATTTCATTATTTTTTCTCCCCCCTCCCCAACACCCCAAGCACGCTGACTTTCCCTCTCTCTTTCCTGAGGCTCTCCAGCACGCAAGGAGGAAATCAGCTCTGAAAAACACAGGGAGGGACAGAGAGGGAACAGAGCTGGCAACTGCTCAAAAGTTTTTTTTTTTGGGATGCCTCACTGCTCTGGGCCACTTCAAACAGCAAGCAAGTGCTACCTGGCTGACTTCACCCAGGGAAAGAGAACTCTAGAGAGGAGAGATCGAGAAATTTGGCAAGAGGCACCTGGGACAAGTGGCTCGAGGAAGAGGAAAGAGAAATTCCTGCAGACCCAGCACTTGACCCGATATTTCTGCACTACCTAGTTTCTGTGCTGCTTTTGAACTGTCACAGCTGTCCCTTGGAGCCACGTGCCTACAGGATGGCTTGCTTGGAGAAGTCACAGACCTGCCCCAACACCTCTGACACTGCCAGAAAGCAAAACAGAGAAACACCAGTTGTTTCTGAGTTTGCTGGTGTCCCTGAGACATTCCTTATCAGCACAATGTGCAGGCTGCTTTCATCACCTTCTCAGGTCTTCAGGAAAACCTGCTCCAGTTCTGGCATCCTGCGGCCCACGCCTCATAAAGAAAACAGAGGCTGGCTGCTTGAGAAAGAGCACTCCATGTACTCGAAGGAATACTTGAAGGAAGAAGGGATGGGCTGAAAGGAGGCACCCTGCTGTCTGGTTTCAGCCTATGTGCCATCACTTGGACTGTGGTGCCCAAGGCAAGCAAGCAACTGCCCAGCTCCCAGTAGCCTTGGTAATTTGGAGGTGCTGCAGGCAAAGAGGATCCCGTGGACATTTGGTTTCCTGCAAACAACTGGGCCCAGGGATGTTTCTTCAGCCCTGGCCCTTGCTCCTCAGAGAGCCTGCTCAGCAGATGGCAATCTGGAAAGGGCTCTGCACAGCCTGCGGGGGCAAGAGGGAAGGAGGGGATGGGAAGGTGGTGTAGGTGTAGGTGAACACCACATGAGAGCAGATCTTTGCCTGAATAAAAGCATCTGGTCCATGATCTGGTCATGGTGGTTCCCCTTATCCTTTCTACACCCTGATCTCAGTGCTCACAGCAGATGGGGGGAGGAAGCACCCAGAAGAAGCAGAGAGCAGGCAAGGGGGAGGACAGGGAGATGCCGCGTGGAGACAGTGCTCCTGGCAAGCCCGGGGCTCCCCGAGGTGGGTCCCTGCACGCAGGAAGCCTGGGCTTCCCCTGCCACGAGCACCAGCCTGCCGCCCTGCCCCAGCACCTCGCCTGCTGCCCGGCAGGGGATCTCCTGCCAAGCCGTTCGTGCAAAATATGTTGCAGGATAGAACGGGTTATGGAAAACAAGCCCTGAAAACCACAAGGGCCTCCTGACCAATTGTATCTGGTTTCTGCCAAGTTCTTGTTACAGATCTTAAACAGAAAGAAAAACAATGTACGAGGGATGAAGGAGCTGAAGGGGAATATTCGTGTTGGAAGAGCAGTTGGCTGGGCTACGCTTGGGGATGTTTGTTTATTATCCAATGCAACTCGCTGATTTTTATTTCAGCGGGTGCTTTCAGTGGCTTTCCACTCCTCTGTCTGCGCCCCTGGCTGCACGAAGGCACTGCAGAGAGAGGGGAGAGCAGGACAGGGGGTTCTACAACCTGTCCCTTTCAACATGCTCCTGTGTGATTGCTTTGCTTCCCTCTGGTTGCTTTGTCTCTTAAGAAAATGTGATCTCTGTAATCACACTCCACATGTGTGCAGGGGACAAAGGTTCTCTCCTGCTCATACAGCCCTGCCTGGTCCTATTTGTATCTCTTTAAGCATCCTATGTCCTTGAATTTTTAAGTCCCTTTCTGAACTTAAAGCTACTGCCCACCTTTGCAGCCTCACCTGCCAGCCAGGTTCAGAGTTCAGGGCTCACTACGTACAAGATATTTTCTTTCACCTGTTTGAAACCCCCTTGCCAGCCTCTGGCAGCGCTCCCTAGTTCTGCGTCCATCTTACCCAGCACCTCTGTGACTTGGCAAACCTCCAGCAGCCTCCTGCTCTCCAAACTGGAGAGTCCCAGTCTTTTTAAGATGCCTAGCTGTGGCATCCCTTTAATCACTTTGATTGCTTCACTGCATCCTCTGGAGATGTGGAGGCCAACATGGCACACACTAACCAATACGCGAATGTACCAGAGCCTTGGGCAACTCACAGAGTCCTTTTTTGGTCACCTAGATCACACGGGCTTGTAGGCTTTGGCAAGACCCTTGAGGGAACAGCAGTCGCACAGCCTCTTGCTTGCTTACAAAAAGAGCAGTAGGATCCTCTCCCCATTTTCAAAGCCAGGTGGCAGGCAGAGCAAGAGTGCAGACTGTATAAAAGAGTCACAGAATGCTCCCATGGGGATAGGAGATGAGACAGTGGTGATATGAGCAGGATGGGAGGGTGACTTTATATTCTGGCCCTGCTAAAATACCTGGTTGCTTCAGAGAGTCTCCTGGGAGAAGCTGGGTCACCTGCAGTCCTCGCTGCGCTAAGCACCAGGAGAGCAGAAGCGGGTCTCTCTAGGAGCACAGCATCCCACCAGCATCATGCTCCTGCCTGCTTTCCTGAGCTGAGCTTTGCCATGGCATAAAATCAGAGTCCTGGGGGTCTGAGAACACAGGGGTCCCGTCGATGGTGAGGAGACCCCAGCAGGGTGCCACACCTCATCTCCCACCGCTTTAATGCAATGACCCTGATTTTAGATGAGACTTCCCAACATCCCTATTGCATGCATTCTCAAAGGGGTTAATTGCGGCTGACAAATGCTGGCCCCGGGCCACAGACATGCCAAGGGAGGGTTTTATGCATAGCGGTGAGGAGGGCCAAGGATCCTTCAGGGTCCTCAGCTACCTGTTGGGTCACGAACCGCGGTAACAGCTTGCAGCCAGAACCACGCTTTGATCCCTAACTCCTAATTGCCACTGCAATTACTCAGGAAAACCACGAAAGAGAGAACAGCTTAGCATTTTACGATCGCGATAACACGGTCGGCAGCACGCGCAAGGACAGCGAGACCTTGTCCTCGTGTGGTGAAGACCTGAGAAGGCCCCAGCGCGCCAGGCAGCCATCTTGTGGCCAAGCCTCCGGCCATGCCCCAGCCTCAGGCAGAGCCCCCCAGCCTTCCCCTCGGCTGTTCCCCAAAAGGGCACCTGCCGCAATTAAAACTGCAATTAACCCTTTGCTGCCCTCACACAACGGTGAAACAGAGCTGAGGGTGAGGTCATAATGTTGTTGCAGGAGGTCTTGGCTGCCTGTGTCTGCTTGATCGCTGCTAGAGCAGCCCATGTGGCTCTGAGCAGGATGGTGGCGGTGGCGCCATCCTGTGAGTAACGCTGAGTAAACATGGTGATGATAAAATAAGCGAGCTTTTCCACTGGAACCGCAGTATGAAAAGAGAGGAGTCCCTACGGTGGGAGAAATAGGGGTGCAGAGCTGATGAGTAGCGTGGACTGGAAGATGCTCTCCTTTCAGAGATGTGGCAAATACTGGCCACCCTCACGCATGGACCGAGCACAGCACCAGGCTCACGGTGGGGAGGAGAGCCTTCTCTCCTCCTCCACCCGGCCCCAAGCCCCCTCCCCTCTCCCCCTGGTGCTGCCATCTGTTTTTCTGCTGATGGCAGGGGATGAGATGTTCCGCTGGCCCTCGAGAGTTGAAGTGCACTCAGCGCTAACTCGTATTCCTGACGAGCTCCTGGAAGGCTTTGCATCCCCAACTACGTGCCTCCGCGCCGCAGGGATGGGGAACTTGGCAAGGTGCAGCAAGAGACCGGGAGGCAGATGGACGACCAGATTAATGGAAAGAGAAAGGAGGTGGGGAGAGGAGCGAGAGGGATGAGCAGGCAGGCTGGTCTCGCCGCCAGAGTTTGAGAATGATGAGCGAGCATCACTCTGGTGCCGCTGCGCAGTGACTTGAAATTTCCAGCGGGAGATGGGTGAGGTGGGGCCGGCTGGGTTGAGGCTGGGCTTGGTGGCTGCTGCCATGCCCCAGCCTGAAGTGAGTCCTCCAGGGAGAGGCTGAACAGCAGGCAGGAGGCCTGCATTCCTCCCAGGTAGGGCTGCTCCCCTAGCTGAGGTGGCCAGACAAGAACCAACATGCTTCCTCACCCAACATGCTCTCTGCCGTCAGTGGAGAGACAATGACATCTCCGAGGGGTGACTTGGACCTGAGGGGACCTGGACAGGCCACTGGAACAGCAGTCGGCTGCTCAGTGGAGAGCAGAGGCTGGGCTCCTAAAGGAGGTACCCCTGGTGAGGGATTGCAGGGAAATGAGGAGGAATCTGGGACTAGGGTGGCCTGCACAGCTGGCAGGTCAAAGCTGAACCATGGAAGACCCAAGAGAAGCTAAAAAAGCAGAACATTTCTTGTGCAGGCAAATGAATGAGACACAAAAATAAGGGAGGGGGAGAGAGGTGTCATGCAGCAAAGCCAGATTAATGGGTTGTATTCCATCTCTACCCTACTCTTGCCACGTGATGTCCCCACATCCCACAAGAATTTGGCCCCCAAGTGAAATGACCTCCAAGATCTTCAGGGCTTTTGGTAACAAGGATGGAGGCAGGAGACGAAGGGCAGTGAGGCAATGTGGGTGCAAGTACAGATGAGGTAGGAATGATGTTCAGGGCATTTCCCCCAATCAAATGAGGGGACTGGTAACACCTCTCTTCTCCCTAGTGCCAAATAGACACCAGAGAAATACTTTGAATGAGACAGTTTAGGTAATAGTTGTGCTTTGTGGCAATATAATGACTACTATAAAACCCATGTTAAAAATAAAATAAAATAAAATAAAATAAAATAAAATAAAATAAAATAAAATAAAATAAAATAAAATAAAATAAAATAAAATAAAATAAAATAAATAAAATAATAAAAGTTGTCAAGCAAGACTTAATGACCTGCAAGATTGTGGAAGAAAACCCAATGAAAAGAGTAATCAAAGACATGAGAAGGGAGGAGGAGAACAGGGACAAGGCGACTGTGAGCTGTTTCTAAAAAGAAAGCACGAGGGCAAAAGAAACAATCTGAAGGATGAATCTTCATTAGTATTGCAGTGAGTGACTGTGACCTTAAAAATAGTCCTGGGCTGATGAAATTGCTAACAAGGAAGAAGACATTGTTCCACAGAGGAGGATCAGGTTATCTGACAAATAGTTAGATGACCTGGAGAACTAGGGAGAGAAACAGGATGACATTCGCTTGTGTAAAATTGAAGGGCAAGCTCTTATACTGATAGTAAAACATCTGCTGTTAGCTTGGAGCTCATCAGTTGGAAACAAAGGATGCAGAGAAAGATCTGGGTGTGCTTGCTGACCTCAGGATCTCTCTGAGCTGCCAGACTGATGCAACTGCAGAAATGACAGCTATGTTCCTGGGTCCTATCAAACGAGAGATTTCCTGCACACAAAGGCTTTCTTGCAGGGCTTTGGTGAGATCTCAGCGGGAAGAGTATGTACTGCTTGGTCATTCCTGTTGAAAGAATAATTGAAAACAGAGAAGGTGTAGAAAAGTATACAATTGGAAAGATGAGAGTGGACTCTTTTTTTGCTCTTAGGACACTGCAGGATTTTGGCTTGCTTGTTATAGCTGTAGGCTATAACTGTTGTCTGGGATTGCTTTCTGAAAGTAAATGGGGATGACAAGCATCCAGGAACAGAAAGAGCTTGTGCTGGCCACAAGCATGTTTAGGTGGCTAACGAGAAGAGAGGAGAGACTTGGTGTAAGACAGAGACTTGGTGTGAGATTCATGTAGTTGGTCCCTCTCTCTCAAGCACACACAAACAGGCTGGCATTTTTCCATCATCCTTTATGGGACCTCCTGCTGAAGACACAGACCAAAGGTGAGGTGCAGAACCATCCTGCTTCAAAGACATTGCCGTAGAGCCAAGCTGAAAGGCATGCTATAGAAAGACACGGAGCTCCCAGGATACTGGATCCACCACCAAGCCATGGTACTCGACCATCCAACACCTGTCTAGCACACAGCAGCCTATTCCCCTAAGCTAGTAGCCCATGGGTTACAGGAGAGACACAGCACGACAATCAGTTTTGGGAAATAACTACTGCATGTCCTGTTGAGCACAACATTTCCTCCCTGGGGATGTGCCCCCTGCAGCACTGAGACCATCTGGTCACACATGGTCGTATATGCTGCCCCTTCTCCTGTAGTTCAGCCGACAAAGAGCTGAGCTAGGCAGAATCAGTGAGCAAAACCGATCATTTGCATTGAAATGAATGCATCCAAAAAAGAAAAAAAAAAAATCAGCAAAACCCAAAGCTATTTTTGGTGTGCAGACTTCATTTACATTTTCCTTTTTGGTAAAAATCCCAAATTTTCAGCATACAACATTCCAGATTCCCCCCCCCCCCTTTTTTTTTACCCTCAATCGTAATAACAAATAGTGCTCGACAAAGACTGCCTATTTTTCATTTCCTCTGCGAACTGACTCCAGGCTGCCTATGATTTTCTCCTGCCTGGTAATTATTCAAAACGAAATGAGTGGCTAACCAATTTCTGCAAGGAATTCTTTGTCTGCAGATTCTTGGGGAGCGGTTTGTTTTGCACACACGACGTTGGAAATCCTCCTTGTTTTGGTTGGACGCGTGAGTCACACCGGGCTTTTCTGGACCCATATTACTCCAGAACTGCAGTTCTGGTTAAGGAAATATTCAGGCTTGGAGTCAGCGTGCACATTTTGGGGATACCCCTTGCCAGTGAAATCCTTTTGCTAGAATTTTCTTCCCGGGCTGGCCAAGAAGAGCGTGAGGAAGGAAGCGCGGTCTGAAGCCCTGGCCCCGCTCTGCAGCTGAGCGGCACGCTGCAGGCTCACCCCCAGCATCGCCCCAGGCGCTGACACGCCAGGACATCACGATGCCCCACGCCAGCTCAT